AACAAATGGATATAAATCAGCATATATTGATAATGAACATATTTATTTTAATGTCTCATTAATACACCAATCACAAGAACATCATCTTCTTTCAAAGGATGTTGAATACAAAAATATTGATTCTCTTTCAGAACCTATTTCAATACCATCAAATTATCTTTCATATATAAAGTCAAACCAAAGTATTATTATGAAAGTTGTAGTCAAACCACTTACTAAATACAATAACCAATCTATGACATTTAAAAGTCCAATTCTTAGAACATTTAAACCAATACCACAAACTCACAATTTAATAAATGAAAATAATATAACAACAACTACAAATGAGTTAAATTTCACACTTGGTTGTATTCCTTATTTTGAAATTTCATTTATGAAACAAATTGTTGATCCTCATAACATTCCACCAGAATGTGGTATTGTTCATTATAATGGAATAAAAAAACGTATTGCTCCTATTATTTTTCATAATACCTTTTGGTTAATTAAAGATTATTATACACCAATTAATGATACTATTCAAAACTTAAATATATCATTGAAAATTACTTCTATTTCATATTTTAAAATGATTATGATACATTCACTTGGTCATTCTTTTTCTATTCATCAACATATGGGAACAATGGTACATGATGAAATTGATGAATTTAAAAGAGTTTTTATGGAAACAAACATTATACTTTTAGTTATAACAACAATAGTATCAACTCTTCATACTATTTTTGATTTTCTTGCTTATAAAAATGATATTCAATTTTGGTCAAAACGAAATAATTTTGCAGGATTATCAATTAAATCAATCTTTGTTAGTCTTGGGATTGAAATTATTGTATTACTTTATCTCATTGATAATGATACTAGTTTCCTTATTTTAATATCAAATGGTGTTGGACTTCTTATTACATTATGGAAATTAACAAGAGTTTTTACTTTGAACTTTAAAGAAAAAGGTTCGTTTATTCAATACAAAAACCTCTCTTATCAAAATTCTAAAACAAAATTGTATGATGATATTGCATTAAAATACCTTGGAATTGCTTGTATTCCTCTTTGTATTGGATATGCTATTTATTCACTTTATAATAATGAATTTAAGTCTTGGTATTCGTATATTCTCTCATTATTAGTAGGAGTAGTTTATACTTTTGGCTTTTTACAAATGACTCCTCAACTTTTCATTAATTATAAACTTAAATCAGTTGCAAACTTACCTTGGAGAGTGTTTATTTACAAATTTTTAAATACTATCGTTGACGATTTATTTGCTTTTATTATCAAAATGCCAACTCTTCACAGAATTGCTTGTTTCAGAGATGATATAATTTTCCTGATATATTTATATCAACGCTGGATTTATCCAGTTGACAAAAACAGAATGGATTCCTTACAATGGGAAGATGATGAACCAATGACTTTAAAGGATGATAATTCCTCCTCAAATTTCCATGAAAAGCAAGAATAAATTTAAAATAATTCTAATAAAAAAACAAAAATTTTGTTTGTTTGTTATTTGATAAACTGAAAGGTTATTTTTATCAATTTTAAAGAAAGAAGCAGTTTTAAATGGAAATAAACTTGTCTGTCATGAGAAACACAGACAATGACATCAACAAAAATAGAAAGCGTTGACAGACATTTTTTCTAAAAATAAGTAATACAAAAATCTAACGATTTGAATCAAAAGGAACTATTCTATTTTTTAACAGATGAAAATTCTGTTTATTATTAACTCTTCTAACTAAATCGAAAAATAAAAAACCTAGAGAATTTTTTTCTTCATAAAAATTCGATTAAGAAATGTTATTTTTGAAAAAAAGTGAAAAAGATGCTTGAGAATGGGAATAGAATTGGATTTTTTTATCCTCGAGGAGGCAAACAGACATTCTAAGAATTTCTTTGATAACTATAAAAGTAAGAACTAAAAAGGTTTAAAATACTTCAAAGTAATTAAATGTTTAGTTCTAAAATGCCTAAATTAAATGGAGTATGTGATAAGTCTTTTATTCTTCAAATAGCTTTAATTATTCCATTTGTTTTAATTTGTCTTCCATCATCCATTTCACGAAGAAGTGATTTTGGTGATAATGTACCAAGTATTGTTGATCTTATTCCATCTATTGGATTTTTAATTGTTATTTCTTTCTTAAGAGAAGTATTAGCTTGTAATGTTTTTATTAAATTAGGTGATAAATATATTCCAAGAAAACCAGAATGGACTGATGAATTTAGAAAATTTAGAGTTGAAAGATTTGGATTAACACTCTTTAAAACAATGTATTATTTCATTATTACTCCACTTGGAATTTATTTATTTAGACATGAAGATTGGATGCCTTCTGCTTTATTTGGTGTTGGAAAATCTGATTTAAATGCTTTATGGGAAGATTTCCCTATTTCACAACCAGTAAAATATATGGCATTATATTATTGTTTTGAATTAGGTTATCATCTTCATTCTTTAATGTTTCATCTTTATTTACCTGCAAGAAATGATTTTTATGAAACATTATTACATCATCTTGTTACAGTCTTTTTAGTTGTTTTAAGTTATATCAATAATTGTGCTAGAATTGGTGTTCTTGTTATGGTTCTTCATGATATTGTTGATGCTATAATGTATACTGCAAAATCTTTAAATGATATTTCTAATGATTATGTTGTAATTCCTGCTTTTTCTATGTTAGTCATTGCTTATGCTCGTTTTAGACTTTGGGTTTTCCCAAGATATGTTATTAGCGCTGCTTATAATGCTAAAAATTTCATTCCAGAAACTGCTACTTGTGGTTATTTGGTTTGGTGTATGTTTTTAGTTTTATTAGTATCATTATATGGTCTTCATATTTATTGGTTTGCTTTAATCATTGATATGATTAAGAAACTAGTAACTAATCAAGGTATTGTTGATCCACATGCTACAAAAAAGGCTGTTGGACAAGAAAATTAAGACTGTATTAATTAAATTGTTTTTACAATTTGATAATTTGTGTTTTAGTTTTAAAAGAGAGATTTTTATGGTTTTTTTAAATGAAAATCTAATCTAAATTCAATCAATTATTAATATCTCCAGATTTTAATAGTATGATCATACGAGGCTGTTGCCACAGAACTACCATCAAGTGACCAATCAATAGAAAAAACTTCATCTAAATGACCTGGTAAATTTGTCATTAATTTACGACATCCTGGAACAACATTCCATAATTTGACTGTACTATCTTTGCTTGCACTTACAAGCATTCTACTGTCTGGAGACCATGCACATCCATAAATTGTTTGAACATGTCCTCTATATGTATGTAAACAAGACCCAGTAAATCCATCCCAAATTCTCATATTTTTATCACATCCAGTACTTGCTATAATTCTACTATCAGGGGAGAATTTACATGACATAACTTGACTTGAATGTCCAACAAGTCTGTGGACTGGTTTTTGTGATTGTAATGGCACCCACATATATAAAGTTCCATCATCACTTGCAGAAACTAAACGTTCACCACCACCACATCCCATTATTTTATCTAATCTTTTTTTTGCTCCATCAATTCCTTTGTCTTTTTCTAATGGATCATAACCACCTTGTCTAAGTACATATTCAGTAGATGTACTAATACCATTAATCCAATGAGAATGACCTTTTAATACATGAATTGGATTTGCTTGTCTCATATCATAGACATTAATCATTCTATCTCTTGATGATGTATATAAAATATTTTCATTTCCACTCCATCGTACACTAGTTACTCCTTGGGTATGTCCTCCAAGTGTTCGAATAACTTCACCTCTTCTAGCGTCATAGATTTTACTTGACATATCACGTGATGAAGATGCAAAAATAGCAGAATCACCAAATACTTCAGGTTTCCATTGAATATCACTTATGAAGTTTTTATGACAATATGACCATAATTGTTTTCCATCTGTTCCATTTTCATTTAATTCCCAAACAATTACTTTTCCAAGTTTATCACCACTTGCAAGTAATTTATTTCCATAATGCCAGTCTAAATTTAATACCCAATCTCCATGTCCTTTTAATGTACAAATTGGAGTGCAAGTGTTTAAATCCCATACTCTAACTGTATGATCTCCACTACATGAACCTAATTTACTTGAATCTTGTGAAAATTTACATGACAAAATTGAATTGCTATGTCCAGTCATAGTATGAGTACTTCTTGAAATTGGTCTACATCTAAAAACTGCTTGTGGATAATATGTAATTGTTACAACTTGTTCTGCTCCTTTATTAGGGATATTGTCAGTTATTTGAATGCCATCTGTATAGAATGAATAAGGAAATGGTTCTTCTTCTGTTTTATTTAATTTATTTACTAAAGCATTTAATTCTTTTGTATTAGTTTCTTCTGGGATTTCAAAAACTTGAGAAGGTTCTGAGTTAAACAATTCGCCATTAATCAAACGAATTTGAATATGTTCCATCAAAAAGTACCTTTAGTTTTGATTTGAAAAGGGTTATTTTTTTCAATAAATTGAGACTTATAATAATGAAAATTATATTGTAATACTATTCTATCTTCTTAAATCTTAAAAATTAATTAATTTCATTCAATGTTCTTCTTCTGTCTTTTATTTGTATCTTCTTTTAGTTTACAACAAGATGACATTATTCTTCTTCCACGTTCATCTGATGGAACAATTAAGTATGAAATTTCAAGTGAACAAATGACTTCTTCTGATGGATTTGTAGGTCATTTTTGTACTACAGGAAATATTCCATCTTCTCTCTTATTTCCAAAAGAAATTGAAGAAATTGGATTATTAATGAAAAGAGTAACAGACAAAGTATATCAATATTCTTCTATTCGTGAATTTATGAGTGAATATAATTCAAATACATATATGGTTATTGGTAATGCATCAGAAAATATTATGAAAGAAAGTATTTATAATTTTACAGGATATGATGTTGTACGATTTGGTAAAGTAAATACAAATATTTATAATCCAATTACAAATATATTTTATGGAATTAATAATCAATTAGAACATCCTAATGGATTTTTTTATACTTCTCATTCATTATCTTCTGATTATAAAGATCAATTTCCAATTTCAGGAATATTTGAAGTACATCAACATGTAGAAATTAATAACTCTTTTAGTCAATTAAAAAATATTATTGAAAATCATCTTGAAGAAATGAAAAAAACATGGAACTTTGATTCTATTGGTGATAGATTTTATATGAGAGTTAATGTTAATTTAAAAAATAAAACATTTGAATATTGTGAAATTGATACATTTGAAACTTCTTCATTTAAATCAAATTATCCAAAGAAAACAGATAAGTATAATCGTAATATTTATTTCTTAAATTCATGTGGTATTGATTATTATAATAAAAAAAGTACTTGTAAATTTACTCGATTTAGTGAAAAAGGAAAAAATAGTGAAATGTTTGATTTTGATACTGTTCAATATACCCATCCAATTCCTGTTTATCTTCAAAGACTTAAAGGTGAAGGAACTCATTTAACAACTGAAATAACTACTCTTAATTTTAATACAACAAATAATGATGATATTTATTTAATTTATACCGTCCCACAAGGTATTTTTATTGATAAATATCAAATGCAAGAATTACAAAGAAAACAAAAAGACCTTGAAGTATTTATGTATGAACCAATGGATCTTGAAGCTCCAATTTTAACTGGAAGACAAGCTCATGTTATAATAAAAACATTAAAACAAACAAAGTCTATTTCAACTCATTCAATTCCAATTCATCTTAGATATCATAAAGCTAGAATTAATGATATGTTTGAAAAAAATGTTATCTTCCCACCTCCAGAAGTTTTCTTTATTTGTGATAATTGTACTGATAGTAGAAGTATTGAATTATTAAAATATCATAATATTAATGGTTATTTTAATACTCCCATTTCTTGTGGAACGAGTGATCCTTCTCAATTTATTTCACCAACTTGTAATCCTCAATTCTCTCAATATACAGTACCTGTAGGACAACTTGATGCATTTGATTCAGTAATGAAAATCACACTTGGAACTACTTTAATTGGTGCAATTATAATCATTGCATTCGTTATCATTTTTTAATTGAAAACCAGTTTAATCAATAAATCAATGTTTCATATTCAATTAAATTGACAAATAGAATAGCATTTATATAACTTATCAATTCGGATTTTTAAAAATTCACATTTTTGTTTTTCTGTTATTAATCCTGATATTTCTAATACACTTCTAATAATAATATCATTTAAATATAATTCAGGAACATTCAATCCATTTTCTATTATTAATTGAAGTAATTCAATATCACATGAACAATCCCAAAATTTTAATGAACATTCTGGATAAGGTAATAAAGCTTTCTTTTTAGCAACAAAATTATTTGCTTTTGTAAATGTTTCCATAATATTTGCCATTTTAGTTAATTGTGGATCAATAGGAGGAAGAGTAGTTAATAATTTATCAACTATATATTGTAATTGAACTTTAGTTAATGGAATAAATTGAGTAAAATCAATTTTCCATAAACGTAAATCCCTACCATAACGTTTTATAGCTGAAGTAAGTGATTTAATCCATTGTATTGCTTTATCTTGTTGAATTAATTGACTATGTTCTTTAATAATATTAATTAAATTAGGATTTATTATAGGTTCTTCTTCCTCCATAGTATTAGAATCTGATAGATCATTAATAACTTCTAATTTTCCAATTGGAATTTCAGGTTGTTGTTTTAATGAATTTTGTTTTGTATCATTTATACTTTTATCAAGAGAAATAGGTTTAACTAATTTATTTTCAGAATTGAATTGTTCTGGATATTTTTGAGATAATCGTTCTTTATTAAATATAGTAGGAGGAGAAAATTTAAGTGAAGGAGTTTTTTTAGAAGAATGTTCAATTGTTACAGGTAATTTTAATGTTTTTGGTAAATTTTGAAGTTTTGATAGTTGTTGATTTTGAATGTTAATTTCCTTATTAATATCATTAATAGAAATAAATCCATTTTTTTCAAAATTACTAATAATTTCTATATCATCTTTCATTACTTCAATAACAAGTTGTAATTGTTCATATTCTGTTCCATATTTTAAAATTTCTTGACCTAATTTTCCAAATTTAATTGATTTAGCTTTTCCTTTATAACCAAAACGATATGAATTATATTTTATTAAATTTCTATAAACTTGTAATTCTTGAGAAAGTGTTAAAGTTTCATCTAATTCATTCATTGAAGAAGTAATTTCATCAATAGTATTTTTAATTGACATATCAAATGCAATAATTTGTTTTACTGTAGCCATCATATATTTATTACGAATATTTGTTTCAAATAATGGAGTATAATCATTACTCATATCAATTACAATATCAATACAACTTAAATCAATTTCAGTTGAAATACATGAATTATGAACACAAACAACTCTTGAATTTCCACTTAAAGTAATAGGTGATTTTCTAGTATTATCATTATTTAATTCTTTTTCAAATAAATCTTTAACTTTTTCAGCATTTTTTTCAGAAGAACATTTCATAATTTCACAAATTGCTTTAGTTTTTTTAATATCAATGTTCCAATCAATATAATTTGATCTTGTTATTTTAGAAATATATCTTAATGGCATATCATAATCTCCTAATACTGCTAATTTAATTCCTGGAATACTTCCAATTATTTTAATACATTTTAATATAAAATCAACTTTTGTTCCTTGAGTTTTTAAATTTGTATCAAACATTTTTGGATAAATAAGTAATTTTTTTATTTCATTTAATATAACTCCTGTTTGTTCATTATTACAACTTTTTGCTATTGTAATTAAATCATTGTATATTGGTTTTTGTATTTGATGAATATTTAAATAAACATCAACATATCTAATAAAATATGAAAACATATTATATTCAAATATTTGTAATTCTTTAATTTTTCTTCGTCTACAATGATTTTTAATTATAGCTTCATCAAATGCTCCATTGTATAATAATAAAAATGTATGTTCTTTAATATAATATTTAGAATTAAAAAATAATGTTGGTTCTGTGTCAACAATAGCAATATCAAATTCAACATTAACTCGAAATTGAAATGCTAATGTTGTAGTAACTACAAATGAACACTTTAAACAATCAGTTTCTGTATGATATAATTCATTATCTAAAACTTCTTTCATATCTTCTTCTTTAGGTATTTTATTAATAAAAGTAACGTATGCATTTGGAATAAATTTTTCTATATTCTCTTTATAAAAATCTATTCCAGATTCATCTGTAACAATTAAATGAGGTCCTTTAATATCATTGTCCATTAATAATTTCATATACTGTAATATTGTTATTTTTAATTTATGTGTAACAAATAATTCTCCATCAGTTTCTCCTATTTTTTTAATCCAACATCCATGGTTTTTATGCAATTTTTCAAATACATTATTACATATCTCTACTTCTTCTTTGTACTCAGGGTTTATAGTTTCTATATTTAATGTTGGTACTTTAGAAAGACTAGAAAGTGGTTTAATTTTTTCAACTTTATTTCTATATTGAGGGATGAGCATTTTATAACGAGGATTATTAAAAAAACTTGGTTCTTCAGTGGATATGAAAACGTTCCCACAATACTTCCATTTAACAGTAAACATTTCTGTAGCTGTTTCATCATAACATGATGATAAGATTTTTTCAGGAACTAAATCACGAGCAGGAATAATTTTAGTTAAACGAGGTTGATATAAAATCCCATCAATTGTATTTTGATCAATAAATTTCTTAAATACATTATCTGGATCAAGTCGAGAATTCCCTTCTATTTCTTCACGTGAAACCCATGTAGAACGAAGAATAGAAAAATTTTTCCACATGACGAGAAATAATAAGGTGTTTGATGGTATTTCTTCATAAACTAACTTAGAAGGGATAAAATATTTAAATACATCTGCATACTCAAAAATATGAGACTGGTCAATAAATGTGAGAATATCATTAACTTCAAACGTATCTGAAGATGAATCAACCATCAAAAAAAATCAAACAAGAAAAAAAAGTTCTTTTTTTTTCTCAACTTAAAATAAAAAATAAAAAACAACTTAAATTAATCTTGTTTTCTACGTTTTAAGAAAGAAGTTCTTGTTGAAGGAGGTTGTGATAAAAAACGAGAATCATAAAATTTTTGAGTATTATATTGTTCTATTGCTTTAAGAGCATCTTTTGAAACCTCCCTATGAGGAATTATTTGAACAAAATTTGGACTAACAGCATCAACCATTTCCTTCCACATTTCATATTCTAATGTACATACTGTTTGAGAATTATTTTCTTGTTTTTTAGAGTCTTTTTTAGAAGTACTAATAGATATATAAGGTACTCTGTTTTTAACAACAATAAAAGCAGTTCCTTCTTTTATTAAAAAAGATGTATAAAAAATATTTTCTACTGTTTGTCCAAAACTTTTAACATTTAAAACAAATTGAAAGAATGGCATTTCTCCTTTTTTTGTTAATAATTCTTTAATCATTTTAATTCGTTCTGGTGTTTCTTTGGCTGCACTCCATTCATCTGCATTAACTGTTTTTGGTTTGATTGCTTCTCCAACATCAGATTTAATTGTTTTTTTTCTTTCTCGTGTTTTTCGTTCAATAATAATCCCATGAATAAGAGGATTAGATGGTGCAACTTTCCAACCACTAAGTAATACTTCTTTACCAAATTTAATGAGTTGATTTTCGGTTATATCATTATTTTCTGAATATAAATCACGAAAATGAGTAATAAATGATGAAATATCATACATTTTAAATCCTGTTTTAAGTCTTTGTGATTTTTCTAATGTAACACCTGAAGTAATAGTAAAACATTCTGCATCAAGTGCTGCTTCACGAGGATGATCTATTTTATCAAATATTTTACCTGCTTTATCAACAAAATTTATAATTTCATCATTATCTGGATTTGATAATAATTCATGTTTAGCTTGAATTTCTTGCATAATTTCACGTAATTCTTTACGAACTGCAGAACGATCATTAGGTGTTGACATTTATGAAAAGATAATCAAAGTAACTTCTTTCTTTCAATTTCTTCTTTTAAAGAAAACCCTTTTTATTAAAAAGAGAAAAACATAAAATCATTTAAAAAATAAAAGATTGTTTTTCATTTTTTTTTTCCTTTTTAGAAAAGAACTGTTTTCATTCATAATGACAAAACCCTATTGTTCCCATCTCCATTCATTAGAATATCACCAAATTTTCCGTTATATTGGAATTACACATTTGAGATTATTAATTCAAGTTTCTAAAGAAGTTAAGAGATGTGTAGAAAGTATTGATCAATTACTTGTTCGACATGATTTATTAAAATATTTAAAAGAATTTCCAACAGTAAAAAAAATATTTTATTCTTCATTTAATTTTATTATCGAAAAAATTCCACAAATAACATTTCTTTCAAATTTAAGAGAATTAGAATTTAGTAATTTAAATTGTATTGATTATTATTCACTTAATAATATTCTTCAATCAGTTAAACTTACAAAATTAAATTTTTGTTTTTTAAATCAAATGAATGAAGAAAATAGTATTCAATATATTAATTGTATTGTAACAAATCAACCATATTTAAAAAGTTTAAAAATTTCAAAAGATTTATGTTTGTATAAACATTATTCTAATTCTTATTCAGTTCAAAATTTAAGTCAATTAACTCGTTTAACTCAATTAAAAATATTTTCATATTCTAAAAATCATTGTACATTACCTAATTTACAAGAATATAATGTCTTTGTTAATGATACTCATTATTTTAATGAAACAATTCATTATTTTACTCAATCTAAAAAATTAAAAACACTTATTCTTCGTGGAAATTTTGGTGAAATATCAAGTATTTATAATGTTACTAAACTTACTCAAATAAATACTCTTGATCTTACTGGAACTAATATTGATAATGGTTCAGAAGTTATCCAATTTTCTAATTCTTCTTTTAATACAATTAAATTTAATGGATTTTTTGGTATTAATGGTGAATCAATTCGTTTCTCAAATTTAGGAAACAAATTTTATATTGACTCTGAAATATATTTGGATAGAGAAATTGGTCATATTCCACCATCTTTAATTAATCAAATCAAAAATGAACTTAAAAATAACTCACAAAGTTCTATTAGACCTTTTTCTATTTCAATTCTTTCTAATAAAATTACTTTACAAGCACTTATCATCTCAACTCTTTTTCCTCATTGTTATCAATATTGTCGTGTTGAAACAAATACTTTTAATTGTTTTAATTTTAAATTATTTGAAGAATATGAAGTTACATTTAATCACATTGCCTTTAGAAATGTTTCTTTTCTCCTTAATTTTAATGTTTTACAAAACATGTATTGTTTAACATCACTTTCATTGTATAAAATAAATACTGAATTACCTATTAACTTATTAACTCAATTAAAAAAATTGGCTATTTATGACGGTAAATTTCAACATATCAATAATTTGAAATTAGAATTTATTCGTTTCTTTAAAGTAAGACAAGTTAACATAAATGAAGTTATTGAAATGACTACTTTAAAAAGTATTTTTTGGAAAGAAATGGAACAAGATTTACCACTCAACAATTTAGTAACTACCTCAATTTTACGAATTGTTATTGAAGAACAAAAAATACCTTTTGAGGATTTACCTGCTTTTGAAAAGAAGAGAATCTTTGTTAATTCTTATGATTTTGAGTTTGATGGATTTGATGAGTCAGGAGAAAATGAAGACCTTTCAAATTCTGATAACTCAGAAGATTCTGATAATGATGCGGATATTAACTTTGATGAGATTGAGTAATGATGAATAGTAAATTAAACATATATAATATTTAATTAAATTAAATTTTCTCTTTTTTTTTTTCCTCATTTCATTTGTTGTAAAAATAGAGAAGATGATTTGGAAAAAAGCGATAAAAAATAATGAATGAAAAATTAAATGAAAACTCTAAATACAAAAAATGTCTTTCAAAAAGGTAGTATGTTTTCCCTTTAAATTATGGAACATGCTTCCATATATCCAACAATTAGTGTTTTTAACATTAATAATTTTACTACCATTTCCTTATATGATAGAACCTGGTTTATTATCAATACCATATTTATTAGAATTTTTAGTAGTTTCATTTAGTGGGATATTTACAGAAACATATATTTTAAGGGGATGGTCAATATTAATTACTCTGTATTCATTTGTTCATTTTATTATATTACTTATATTTTATTTTGTTGATATTGAAGAACATTGGGGACTAATGTTATGTGGACTAATGTTTAAAAATCAAAAACAAGAATTTTATATTCTTCATACAATTTTTGTTGGAGTGATTGGAATTATTTCTTTTTTTGGAATTTTTTCACGTTCAGAAAAAATTATTATTCGTCATACAGCTTTAGTTCCAACTCTTACTGCTTTGTTCTTTTTTATTTCTGCTTTTGTTGTTAATTCATCTCAAGGAGGAATCATTCCAATTTTATTCTTCTTAGCTTCAATAGTTTTAATTATTTCACCAAGAATAATATTTAAATTCCTTTCAGTTTCACTTGCCTTTATAATGTTTATTTATTTAATTATATTATCATTATGGAATGTCTTCTCATTTGTTTCTAATGAATATAATTTCTTTCAGGTAACTGAATTAGATGTACTACAAAAAGCTATGTCTACTGTTGGATTTTCTATTGTTAAATATCCTTCTTGGGGTTTCTTTGGTATGAATTATGCTGCTTATTTAATGTTTCCATTAATATGTCTTTGTATTAAAATTATATTTAATGAAAAAGAACCAGAAAATAATTCAGAAAATGCTCCACAAACAGGAGTAACAGAATTTACATCAAAAACAGAAGAAGATAATTCAGAAGAAGAACCATTCATTGATGAAAAGAAATCAAACAATAAAATAATTAAAGAAGGATTAAAACAAATATATAAATTTATTATTACATGTCTAGCAGTTTGTTTACAAATAATTGTAAAAGGAGGAGTGTTTATTTCAATTATTGTAATGTTTTGTGTAGGTCTTGTAAATATTAACATCTTTGGATTTTCATTTTTAGTTATTTCTATTTCATTAATATTTATTCCAATTAATTATTGTCAAAAATTATGGCCAATTGTTATTATTTATACATTGCTTATCGTATTAATGGAAATGATTGTTCAATTAGATTACATTGATGTTTCATCACTTCCATCATATATTGGATTATATAAATTTAATGATCAAACAACACATTCTGTAGATATTAAATGGGATGATACTCATCTTGGAGAATTAATATCAAAGATTATTTTATTATTTGTTTCATTTCTTGAATATTATGCAAATAAAATTGGTGTTAAAGTGATTCATGATGAGAGTAAAATTGAAGTATTTAAATATTCATGTGCAAAATTTATTGATTTCTGGGGATTATTTATTTGTTGTGTAGTTATTGCAATTGCTGCTTTTTATGAAGATATTAATATTGAATTAATTTTATATATTATTGCATTAGCAATTCTTGTTCTCTTACAAACTCATTTTGTTTATTCTAAATTAGTAATACAATTTATTTTACCCATTTATTCAATCATATTCTTTGTTGTTCTTCTTGTTCGTTATGTTTCTCAATTTAGACCTGATTCAGTTTATTCAAATAATAACGACATTTATATTAATACTTTTTGGGATATTTTTACTGGAATGAGTCAAGTAGAAGTTGGTTGTTTAAAATATAATTCATTATGGGAACGTCTAAAAGGATTTTTACCAAATATTCTTGTTATTGCAGTTTGTGCTATAGAAAGTCGTTTATTAATTACTGTTCCTCGTTATTTAAAAGAAGTTGAAGAAATGTATCTTGCTGAATTAAAGAAAAAGAGAGGGGTTCAACATTTTGACAGAGAAGCACTTCAATATTCATTCAATAGATTTGAACAAGAAACACGTTTAGCAAATGAAATTAATGAAGAAAAGAATTTAACTAAAGTTGAATTAATTTCCACGAGTCAAGAAGGAAATAAAATTCTTAAATCTAAGAAAGATAAAACAAATAAACAAAATAAATATTTAAATGATGAAGAAAAGGTTCAATGTATTCCTAAGGTTATTTGTGAAATATCTGATTTGATTATGAGGTTTTTAGCAATTTATATTCCACACATATCAGTTATTTGTGCTATTATTATAGCTGCATATCCAATTGTTGATTCTACATTTGAACATCAAACATGGGATTGTTTACACTTTTTATTATTTATAACAACTATGATTTGTCTTCTTTCTAAGAAAGGATTTAATGCAGCATGTGCTCCATTGTTATGGGTTTGCACTATTAGTATGATTATATTAATTGTTCCAAATTTTAGAACATTCAACCAATTAATAGATCAATATAATGTTTTTGGATCAACTCAAACAAAAATATGGATTTATAGTCTTATTGGAATTAAAACATGTTTTGATGATGTTTTAACAGCACCTAAATGTGTTTCTTATGATGAATTAAAATATCCATATTGTTGGGATTTAATAAAGGATTTTCTTGTAATTTTCTTCCTAATTATTATAACAAGAACTTCATTTTTCTGGGGAAGAATATATAAAAAGAAAGAAAGATTAACATTATTTAGATATATTGATTTGGAGTATGATTTAAAAAAATATTCATGGAATAAAGTAAAGTATTATATTTCAAATTTCTTCAGTTATTTTGGTCCACTTTATATTCTTTTGGTATTAATGATTTGTATTTGTTTACATGCTAATGATTTTATGGCAATTCTTTATATTATTATTTCTTTAGTTGCAGTTATTTGTCCACATAAAATTCTTACTAAAATGATTCCAGTTGTAGAAATTATTTTATTAATACTTGTTATTATTAACTCTGTTTGGACAATTCCATTAGAACCATTAGATACACAATGGGAAATTTGGAAGAAATGGGACTGGGATATTGATTATTCTTTAAGAAAATATACGTTATTAATGCCAGTTGAACAAGGTAAAAAATTATTGGTAATAAAGGTATTTGACTGTTTATTTATTTTTCTTATCAACCGTATATCCTTCCATTTTAGAGAAGGTCATGTTCATGAAATATATAAATTCATTTCACCACCTTATTTCCCTGAAGTATCTCGAAACATTTTTGATGGGGTTCATCGTGTTTTATTAAAATATTTTAATCTTATTTGTGGAATTATTATAATGTTACTTGCTGTTAATCGTAAAGATATTATATCATATGTTTATGTTGGAATGACAATGTATATTGTTTTTAAAGGTAAATTCCTTAGAGAAAGAATTCAATGGAAGATATTACAAGTTTTAAATTTCTTTATTCTGATTGTACAAAATATTTTTGTATTATCTTCTCTTCTTACTTACTTTAAAGATGATGAAGAAACTAAAAAAACACAAGGAATTAATTTAGTGTTGCAAATCTTTGAAACATTTGGACTTTATATGCACGCAGGAGAACCATTTGTTTTTAATGTAGTTATATTATTTGTTATGTTAATTAGAAGTGCAGTGTTTAGACAAATCCCAGAGACATTCAGAAAATTAGAAGATAATATTGAAAAAGAACGAGCAAATATTTTTGTAAAATTAAAAGAGTTGATTGATTTAGATAGAGACAAAATAATGATTGAATTAGATAAAAAATATAATGAAAAAGTTCTTCGTATGAAAAGATTAGATGAATTGAGAGAATTAAGAAAAAAAGATAGATTAAGTGATTTCCATGATAATGATTTTGTTGAAGTTGCAGAAACAGCTCCAAAAGAAATTACAACAAAAGGATTCTTCCAAAATCTTTGTGATACTACAAAAGAAATTTCTTTAAACTGTATCGATGCTTTGATCCATTTCTTACATAGTAGAAATCTTGTTGTTCGTTTAAATTTACCTAAAAATGCTACTGATGAACAAATAGAAGATAGTTTATATACTACAATTAAACCTGTAAGTAAAGAACCATCAGCTACTTTTACCCCCAAAAATGGATCAACTAGACAAACTCCAATAAATAGAGTAGATGTCATAACATCTAGCGATATGGTTCAATCAGATGATGATGATAATGTATTTTATTCAGTTAAATCATCACCAGAAAATTTATCAATAAACTCTTCAAATTCCTCTTCAGAAGAAGAGTCAGAGGTTTCAGAAGAAGAATCAGAGGTTTCAGAAGAAGAATCAGAGGTTTCAGAAGAAGAATCAGAGGTTTCAGAAGAAGAAAAAAATCCTCCACCATCAGTCAAACTTGTTCCAAAGAATGAAGTACAACATCAATTGAAATCAATGTCAGATATTATTGAAATAGAACAAAAAGAAGAAACAAGTCAAAAAGATTCTTTATCTAATTTCGAGAATACTAATGTTAAGTCAAACACAACCACTCCAGAAAAAAAAGTCACAATGAAAACTTCAAGAATTTATTCAAATAAAAATCAAATTCCTATTCATAAACCTATTCCACAAAGAAATTATGAATTTATTCAAATTCATGAAAGAAATGAACCATATAAGTATAAAGGTAGAATATATATGTTATTCTGGGGACTTTGTTTTTATTTTGGTCAACAAACCGAGGTTTTGGTTCAACTTATTTTAGTACTTGATGAATTAATTAATCAAAATATTTTAAGTGCTGTATTCCCTATTATTGGATTTGCTGTTATAGCACTTTCTATTAGACCATACCCAACTAAATTCTTTTGGAATTTCTTATCATTGTATAATGTATGTCTTATTCTTATTCGATTATTCTTCCAATTACCAGGATTTTGTTTAACACCAAATGAATATGACCAACAACATGATGTTATTTCATATACCACTCATATTTTTAATGAAAAAACAATGCAATGTGATGCTACACCATTAACAAAAAATCATATGTCTCCTGTTTATTTAATAGGAATTTATCCAGTTCATCGATACATTGCATCAAGATTTATTTGGGATATTTTTTGTTTATTTGCAATATTAATACATTTATCATGTATGAGATCACGTGGATATTGGAAACAACAATATTTATTAAGAAGACAATGGTCTAATTTGATTATTGAAAATTATAGAAGACAATTAGTCAATAAAATTAAACCAAGAACATTTGGGGAATTAAAATTTGTTGTTGAAGCATTAGTAGATTTTGAAGCACCTGAAGGAGAAGAAGATTTTCTTTCATATAAAAAACATGATTTGTTTGTTGTTGAAAATATGCAAGTGAATGGAGATTTATTTGTTTCCAAAGGAGGGAAAATGGGACTTATTAATTGTGAAAATGTAACTATTTATGTTCAAAATGGTAAAGTAATAAATAGTCAAGTTTGTAAAAAATCAAAAAAAGTACATAAAAAAACATATGACAAGAAATATTGTGTAAACAAAGATAAAATTTTAGATGCTATTGACGAATTTGAATGTGTTAATTATCATGAAGTAGAAATGTTATCAGAAAAATCTCTTGAAGTTAGTGAACAAATGAGTTCAGATAAACTAAATAATTTCCTTAAAAGTCGTGAGGAATATTTGAGAGAAAAAGAATTAAAATGTAAAAAGAAAAATTTAATTGGTAAAGCTTTTAGTACAGTATATCATCCTCTTAAATCATTCTTTAATTCTATTGCTAATGACCAATTTAAACAAGGAGCTGATTTTTATATACCATTATTTATTAGTGAAGCTCTTTGTTTCTTATTCCTTATTATTTTCCAAGGTACTTTTACTAATATTCAAGGTAGTTTTATTAAATTCTTTACAGATGATTATTTACCAATTACCTATGTTCTTGGATTATTTTTACAATTTGCAATGATTCTCGCAGACCGTATTATTTATTTATGTAAATCTATTAAAGCTAAATTATTTATGCAATATTTTTCATTACTTTTATACCATATTTTAATAGTTATTGTATATCCTTCATTTGTTGAAACTAAAACAAAAATAGTTAAAGCATGTCTCACTATATTTTACTTATTCAAAGTTGTTTATTGGATAATTTCTGGGCTTCAAATAAGAGCTGGGTATAATATATTATCATCAAAACGAATATTAATGACAAATTATTCATTCTATTCTCAAATGATCTTTCATACTTATTACACATTACCTTTTGTTTATGAAATTAGAACAATCCTTGATTGGTGTCTCTCAAAAACTTCAATGTTTTACAAACAATGGTTAAAAGTAGAAGATATTCATGCAGAATTATATATGAATCAATGTGACCGAGTAATAGAACGTAATAGAAATCATGTATATGGACAGCCAAGAGGAATTGTAGAAAGAATTACTTCTGGATTTATTATGGTTATTGTTCTTCTTGCAATTTTATGGTTCCCATTATTATTCATGTCATCTGCTGCTCCTAATTTTACTCAACCAAAACCTACAAACATTGAAGTAGTGTTGAATTTCGTTGGTCAAGGTGAATTATATAAACAACAACAATCAGTATTCAAAGAAATTACTAAAACTGAATGGAATGAATTACAAAAAGACCATTCTTCATTATCTCTTCTTTCTGGTGAAGCTATTTATTCAAGTCAATTATCATCCGATGCAATGACTTATTGGTTATTAACACCTCAAAAGAAAAAAGAGTTAAATACAAATTTACTTGCTGATGAAACATTAACATTAACTTATTCAATTTCTATGTCTCGTGAGTCATCTGCTGCATCAAATTCATTCAAATTTAGTGGATCATACGAAATGAATACGGAAGAAAAAAAGAAATTATCAACAATTCTAAATAATGGAACTAGTGACTTATATTTATCTATCTTTCCTCAAATCTTGAAGATGCCAACCTTAAAAGAGAAAGAACTCCTTGATGCTTTTGATAATGTAAATATTACTTTAAAGCCAATTCTTCACTTTGATTCAGTTACTAACTTGTATTATTGGTCTTTTCAACAATGTGTAAATGTTGATGAACTTTGGAATTGTTCAGAAGGAATAAAATTTTTCATTTCATCTCCAAAAGTTCCAAATTCTGGTATTTTATCTGCTCTCAGTTCATTAGGTATTATTGGTCTTTATACTGTTGTTGTACTTGCACTTTATTCTTTAATCAAATCTGATTATGTAGGTCAGGCTCATACAATTATGTTTAAAAATCTTCCTAATTGTTTGGGATTGTTACAACTTTGTGATGATATTATTATTGCACGACAAGATGGTGATTTACGTCTTGAAGAAGATTTAGTGAATGAACTAATTACAATATATAGAACTCCTTCTCTCTTGTTTGAAAAAACTAAGTAAAATAATTTATTTTCTTCTTTTGTTATTTTTATTTTAAACTTCTGTTTTTTAACAACCAACAACTAACCTTAATGTAAATTATTAAAAACTTAAGCAATAGACAGTGCAACTTCCATCATTTGTGTAAATTTGGTTTGTCTTTCTTCAGCTGAGAGAGCAGTTTCCTTAAATGGACAATCAGAAATAGAACAAATAGTCAAAGCTTGTTTGCCTGCTCTTGCCGCAATAGCATATAAACCAGCTGCTTCCATTTCTACAGCAAGTACTCCCATCTTATCCCATTCTTTTAATGAACTTGAATCATCATAGAAACAATCACTAGAAAAAACATTCCCTACTGCATACTTAGCTCCAATCTTTTCAACAGCTTCAACAGCTTTATGAACTAACTCATAATCAGCTATTGGGCAGAATGTTCCTGGGAGTTTATATTGTTGCATAAAATTACTATTATGACAAGCACCAGTTGCTATGACAATATCTCCAATATCTAATTTAGAGCTAATAGCTCCAGCAGAACCAATTCTAATAATTCTCTTTACTCCATAGAAATTAAATAATTCATATGCATAAATTCCAATAGATGGTATACCCATACCATGAGCTTGAATAGAAACCTTTTTTCCTTTGTAATATCCAGTATATCCTAATGCCCCTCTTACTCCATTGACTTGAACAACATCAGTCAAATAAGTGTCTGCAACAAATTTACATCTTAGTGGATCACCAGCTACTAACACTGTATCAGCAAAATCAGCTATATTAGCGTTGTTGTGTGGAGTAGGGGTGTTAGTCATAACAAATATTGAATGATTCTAATTCTTTAATCGTATAAATATAACAAAATAAGAAACTTCTAGGGTTTTCTTTCTTATTTCTTTTACAAAAATTCTTCTTTTTTTAGCAATTGTTAAAAAAAAACTGATACGTAGAATTGTTTAGAAAAGTTTTTGAGTTTATTGGTTTTTATAGTTTAATATACATAAAGATTTATTGTAAATTATGAATATTCTCTATCTCCTTATCATTTCCTCAACCTTCTCTATGAAGTCTTTATCTTGATATCTGCTATAATACACTTGACAAAGTTGTTCTTGGTTTGGCTCTATCATTTTATCATTGAAACATGAAAATAAGGAGACTATGACAGATGGATTTGTTACAATAACAACACCTGTCTGTGAATTAGTCTCTCTAAATAAGAAAGCATTTTTATAAAATGAAGAAATGGAATTTTGAAGATATCTAATAAAAGTATTATGAGAGCATCTTCTTGAGATATTTTTAATAATCACAGTGTTTTTAACTTTGTCCAATACATTTCCTTCGCTGTCAAATTCAATTTGTTCCAGTTGTTCTTCGTTTTGATGTTCATTATAATGTTTTACAGTATCTTGTGCATAATGTTGGATTAAATCAATTAATTCAGAAGGAGGAATTATCACTGGTACTTCTCTTGGAATACCAAGAAGATTTGAAACACATTGAAGAAAGATAAGTTTAGAAATGTTTGGTTTTGAAATTTCTATCTTTATTTTTCTTCCATTAATTTCAATATCATTTAATTCTTTAAGAGCAACATCAGAACTTCTTGAATCAAAATACTCAATAAATTTATGATATTTTCTTGATGGAGTTTCACGAATCTCTTTTATTTCTCCATACTTTGAAAAAATTGTTTTAAGAGTTTCATCATCAGTTTGTTTGTCAATATTGAAAATAACCAATGTACCATGATTTGGTCCTTCATTAATGTCTATTGGTATTCCAAATACAATATAAGTTGATGACCTCGATAACAACGACCATTAAGATATTTTGCTGCACTTCTACTTGATCTAATATCATAAAATATAACAACAATAAACCCAAATTGGACAGTACTGTAATAAATTGTTTTTACATCCCCATATTGTTGAAAAATACACAACAATTCTTTAGGATCATATTGAGATAAAATATTAAAAACACATAAAACTCGACTTGGATGTTCTCCATATTGAAATTGTTCCAGTTTATTTAATTCTTCGGTAATTTTGTTTCTATCATTTTTGTCGTTGATGTTATAGTGAATACCACTTTGAGACATGATAAAAGTAAGTAGAAGAAATGATTAAATACTGACTTTGTAAAGTCTCAATTTCGTTTTTGTTCTTTCTAATATAACATTTTTTTTTTGATTTTTGAAAAAAGAAGAAATCTTAAAATATTTATTTATCAGTTGTGAAATCAAAAATGGGATGTTCATTATATCAAACCTTCTTTATTATACTCGTTTTAATTACTTTTTGTATATCAATACTAACTACGTTTACATTTATATTTGATAATATACCTAATGAATATGATCGTTTTTCAGCAAGAAATGTTTGTTATTATTATTTTATTGATATAATGAATAATAACCTCATTAGTTACTCAACGGTTATCACAATACAATAACATGTTCAAGTAATCCATTCAAAAATAAATATACTTTTTCATATTCTCTTGGCACAAAATATCAATATAGTTGTCCAATGAGTTTATCAACAATTATTAAATTAAGTATTAGTTGTTTGTTATGTATGGCAGTAAGTATATTGATTATTTATTGTGTTATTATAAAGAAGATATCTTCAATGTGTATTATTGTTTGTTTCTTTTTAAATTCTATCAATATTAGATAATATAAATAATAGTAAGGTAATGCTTTGTTGTATTCTAAATACAATGTATTCATTATATTGTGAATTCTTTTTTATTCATGAGGAAATTGAAGGAAGATATTTCTGTGAAACACTAAGAACAACCCAATGGCAATCACCTGTTTCTAATTTCAAATGTCACACATATCGTTATACAGTCTTTTCCATACTTCACACTACAACAGTTGTATCATTAATGGTATGTGGTATTTCATCTAGTTTTTATATTAAAGATTACAAAGAACAACAATACCTAAACAAGAAAATAGAAAATGATGAAAAAGAAAAAGAGCATAAATTTACTGAAAATGAGACATATCAAAATGATGTGTTAGTTAATTTCGAAGAATTAGCAAATAATAAACATAATGTAAAACCAGGAGAAGTTGATTTTTCTCAACTAACTTATAATTAAATGAACATTCTTACTTAAAATTCTGTTTTATTTTAATTAATATATTTATACAATTTTTATAATGAAAATTTATATAAACTTCTTAATTAATGAAAAAAGAAATTAATTGATATAGCTCAATTACTTATTTATTTAGCAAGTGAAAGTGCAACTTCCATCATTTGTGTAAATTTAGTTCTTCTTTCTTCTGCTGTCATTTTTTCACCACTTCCATAACAAAGATCAGAAATAGTTAACATACAAAGTGCTTGTTTACGTGCTCTTGCTGCAATCATATAAAGAGCAGCTGCTTCCATTTCTACAGCAAGTACTCCCATCTTTTTCCATGCTCCTGAGTGATCTCCATCATCATAGAAATAATTAGCAGAATAAATATTTCCTACCTTATATCTATATCCAAGTTTTTCAGCTGCATCAACTGCTTCTCTGCAAAGTTGGAAATCAGCAATACATGAGTATTTACCTGGAATATCATATTGTCTTTCAAAATTGGAATCATAACATGCTCCCATTCCAATAACAATATCTCCAAGTTTTAAACTTTCATCAAAAGCTCCAGCAGAACCAATTCTAATAATTCTCTTTACTCCATAGAAATTAAATAATTCATATGCATAAATTCCAATAGATGGCATACCCATACCATGAGCTTGAACTGATAACTTCACTCCCTTGTAATATCCAGTATATCCTACTGCTCCTCTAACACTATTATATTGAACAACATCAGTCAAATAAGTGTCTGCAAGAAGTTTTACTCTTAATGGATCACCAGCCATAAGGACAGTTTCAGCAATCTCTCCGTATTTAGCACCATTATGTGGAGTTGGACAATGTTCAGCCATGGTAATGAATAAACTTTTTTAAGTAAAAAGACCCTTTTATTCTCAATTGGAATATCAAAGAACCAAACAGAATTTAGGCGACAATTCTTATTAATCCCCATTCATCGGGAAATTAGGATTTAATATTTTTAAGTAGAAAAAGAGTATATTCGATCGAATGGATGTAGAAGAGTGAAGTTCTGATTAGAATAATCTCTTTCTTACTTATTGAAAGAATGAAGAAGTGTTATTAAAATTATGTTATTTAATAAAAGTAAATATTTGATTATTTATAAAATTTCCACAATTTTATTTTCATCCACTAATTTTTCATTAGAAGAAATTTAAATTAATTAATTATCCCAACGTTCTGTTGGGCTCTGGTAAAGTGATGAATTGAGGCATTTGTCTGATTTCTTTGAAGACAAATATACATCTTCCTGATTACTTTTTTTAAAAAGAAGAAAAAAAAACAAAGAGGGTATTTGAAAGAATGATAAATAAATTTATAAAATTCTTTTAGTAAATTTCATACGTACCATCATTAAATATATGAACATCATTTGGAATCATTTTCACAGGAACTTCAACAACACCATCTTCTCTTATTATATAATTTTTCATCCATATCTCTTTTCCCCAACATGCACCTGAACCAGGAATTGGGGATACTTTAAATCTCATTGCATCATCATGTCTAACAAATGAAACAAAACAACACTTATGCTCTGGTATTATTTCAACTGAATTTATCGATGAACCTCCAAGTGTGTTGATGACATCTTCTTTAGTTTTCCATGATGATGGAATATCACAAAATATGATAACATTTGTTTTAACTACAACAAAATGAGCTGATTGTTTAATTGAAAGTTAAACAAACACAAACTTAGTTTTGTTTCATTTTTCTTTTGTGGAATAGGAGGTTGTAAGACAATTTCATCTAATTCTTTTTGCATCATTTTTTTATTAATTTTATGTACATCGTTAGTTATTACTTTTGTATTAGCATTAGTATGGAAAAGAAATTCACTCGACTGTTCAAAAAGGTCATTGTCTTCTTTTCTTGGAGAAGGACTGTCACAACTATTACTACTGCCTTCTTTTATTTCATTAAATGCTCGAAACTCTAGTTCATTCATTCTTTTTTGTTGAGCTTGTCTTTTATTTATTCTACTTGATTTTAAATAGAAGGGTGTTTTATTTAATTGATTTGTTTTTTGTTCAGAGTCATCTTTTACACTAGTCTCAGGAAATGTGTATGCTCTATCGTCTTTAAAAAAGGCTCTTCTTTTTGATAAACTTCTCCTTCTATCTGAATAACTATCCCTTCTTTCTGAGAAATTATACTTTCTGGGAGATGTACGTCTTCTAGAAAAGGATCTTGAACTCCTTTTTCTTGACCTACTGATAGACCTCGAATGGTAACGATTTCTTGAATTTTCCCAACGAGGAAGTAGTCCAAAGTTTTTATCTCTTGAGCCACTTCGAGAATATGATCTTTCTCTAGATCTGTTTCTTGAATTTCTACTGTCAAAACTTTGAGAAGAGTAATAATGATTTACGGAAAGAGAATTACTTCTTGAATAACGGTATGTGTCAAAGTTATTTGTTTTGTGGTAGTTATTTCTTGTGAAATTATCATTACTATTTGGAAGTAAAGCCACTTTAGGATTATTAAATTTTGGTAAAAGAGAACGTTTATTAATTTGTTGGTTTAAAGATGTTTCATCAGAAGATGAGTCTATATTGATAATTTCTGCTGAAGTAATTGTTTTTTTATTGATAAAACTGTTTGTATTTGGAAGAAACTTTTGTGTTGATCCATAATTAGAGAATTGGTAAATTGATGAAGAGACTAATGACTCTAATTCTTCACATAAAGTTTTTTCAAATACTTTTAATGTTTTCCACTTTCTAATGGTTGCTAGAAGTTGTTGTTTCTGAATATCTCTACACATAGACACTGATGTAATAATTTCAAGTAACCTAAATGAAAATTGTTTAATAAATTGCAATGTTAGAAATATATCTGTTTTATTTGTTTTGTCACATAGACAGTCAATTATGTCAATTACAATAGGTCTATAAGTTGGCCATATTGATCGTGTAAATTCTTCAAGGCGGAACACAACACTCGGAATCTTGTTATGAATTTCTATAAGAAATGAAAATTCTTAATGAACAAACATTTGTTGATTGGTAACAAAGATGAATCACTTCTTTGATAAGTTGTTGTGATATTTGTGGAAATAAAGAGGTTATTTGTTGAAGCTTATCTTGAAGGGTTTTATCAACCTCCATTAAAATTACTTTTTGATTTTTTAGATTATAAAAATTATTTTTTGATAAACAAAGTCAAAAAAAATGTCAATTATTAGATATATCCATTATTGAATATTATGAATATTGAGAATTGATTATTTCACTTTCTTCAATATGCTCTATTGGTGTAATAGAGTTCATTTCTAACATACTCGCATTAGACTGTTCTTCTTCTAATGTGTTGCCAGAATTGAATGTGTAAAATATTAAGTCTTTCATGTTTTTTATAATTATTGTTCGTAGGATTTTGGAAAAGTCTAATTGTAATTTCAGTGCTTTTAATCTTTTTACTGATTCTTTGTGTATTAATCAATTTATTGATAATATAATAGGTATTATTTCTACATATATTAATTCTCTATTATTTCTTAATTTCTCTTGTAATTCTTTGTATTTATTTATTTTATGTAATTTAATTCTAAATTATTATCTTGACATATAACTACATCTATAATATATCCTTTCTTTTCTGTAATATTTTGATATTATATCTTATATTCTAGCATGGAAAGAATGGTCACTAACCAATAAATCTTTATTGTAAGTTATAACCATTTCATCATTATTAATACATTTAGGAGGAATATTAAAATCAATTGAATCAAATTCATTAAAATGTGTAATTAATAAGTGTTTAAATATTTGTTTACAAACATAATCATGTTTTAATATTTGATTCTTCTTCATTACATCCTAACAAGATATGATTAATAGATGCTATTGTGTTATGACAATGTTTACAATATTTTAAAGCATCATTTTGGAGTATTTTTTGCTTTAATATTTCCTGTCATACTTACTCCTTCTTGCATTTTTACTATTTGGAGGAATGCATTTCTTTTTATGTTTAATGACCTCCATGTGGCTACTGTTAATTTCTTATCATTGAAAGTGCCATTTGCACATCTTATATATTCACCACATTTCTTTTCTTTCTTTTAAATATCTATCATTCAATTCATTATTTACCCATTCAATTACTTCCTTTACATTGTGCTTTCTTTCATTTAATTCTATTACATTCATTAATTCATTAAAATTAATATTCTTACCAAATGCTTTCTTCATTCTTTTAATTATTCCATTTGGATTTTCTTTTATTATTTCTATCATTTCTCCTATTTCTGTGCTTGATCTCTACTTATATTTTAAATATATTCCTAATAATTATTTAGCACATTCATCTCTTGCTGACATTAATCCTAATCCCAATTCATTTATTTTAACATATAATCTACTTTTTGGGATATTTCTACCGTATAATTGGAGTTGTATTAATGATTTTCTTATTTGTTTATCTATCTTCTCCAATTCTCCTAGTTTCCATGGGACAATACTAAATCCATATCTTAATTTGGAGATTATATCACTATTAATCTTTCTTATTGTATTGAGGCTGCTGTACTTCATAGTATTTAATGATGATAAAATAGAAGATACATCATTTAATATTCTTGTACAGTATTTATTGATATTTACTTTATCTCTTATTTCAATACAGACCGAAGGTGGCACGTCTGAAATACCACACACAAACCGTAGTACAAATTCAAACTTCGACTTTCCTAGCCATTATCTGGTTATGACGGTGTATTTGAATTAGAAATGCATTAGGGAATGCTGCAAAGGGTGTAGCAAGATATTATGATAGAATATTACATGGTGTAATATATGGAACTACTAAAGTGCTTTTAAGACTAAAAGAAGATTAAACATAGTAATACAGTAGTAATGAAATGATCCCTTCTCCCATTCATAAAATAAGAAAAATGAAATTCCTTAAAATTAAGGCAGAAAATAAACAAAAGAATAAAAAATGAATTAAGCAGAAAAAGTTTGAAAAACCTTAATAAGAAAAAATAAAAGAAGTAATTTTAACATTTTGCAAGAAAAAGCTAAATGATAAGTTAAACAAAAAGATTACTCTTTTTAAATAGCTCATGGATTAATCTCCACTAAACTAGGAAGAATAGATAAAAATTCTATTAATACTTAATTAATTACTTTTTATCTTTATTAAATTAATTTAATTGAATTAATATTGATAAAACAAGAAAATTCAAATCACAAAAGATGAAATAACAACAATAAAACAGAATTGAGTCTTCTTCTCTTCAATTTTTTTTTGTTATTTTTTAACAAAAATGAAAAAACACAAAAAATAAAACAAACTAATTATAGAAAATAACAATATTATAATTTTATTATTATTATATTATTAATATTATTATATATTTATTGTTATTGTAAAAATGATAAAAATAACATTTATTTAAAATAATGATGAAATAATGATTGACTTGATGTGTTAATAACGTGTATTAACTATTTAAACATTCATATTTTGAACTTATAAACATCAAATTAAATTAAAATGGAAGAGTTAAATATCAAGAATAACCATTTGATTAAAGAAGTAGTAGAAATACTTCCAAACATTCAACAATCAATTGATGATACTACTAAGAATTATCAATATTATATAGGAAGTATTAAAAATGAAGTATTTAGAATAAAACCAGATGAAACATACTCAGAAGCTATTAAAAGAGGAGAAGGAATATTTGATGGGATTGACGAAATAGAAAAAAGAAGAAAAGTGGTGATAGAAAAAAGTCAAGAAGCAATCAACCAAATAGAAATAATGAAGAATAAAATGTCAAGAATCATAGAAGAATGTAAATCAGATGAAGAAACACTAGGTAAAACACGGAATGAATTAATAGATAAAATCATTTCAATTGAAGAAATGATAATGAAAAACAAAATAATAAAAACACCAGAAGAAAAAGATACAATCACCTCAGAATTTAATAAGAAGAAAGAAGAATGGGAAAAGCATTACAGTGATTATTTAGAAAGAAGAGAGAAGAAGAAGAAAGAAAGATACAAGAGCAGGAGAAGAAGATACAAGAAGGAGAAAGATTGAGAATAATAAGAGAAATAAACACAATGGAAGAAATGTTACAAATAGAAGAATGGACAAACAGAAAAAAGAATATCAAATATACTATTTGATTCAGATATTGATGATTGGAATCAAGGTACATCAGTATTTGATCAAAGAATAATGAATAAAGAACATATAATAATTATTATTGAAGATGAAGAAGGAAATAAATTTGGAGGATATGTTAATGAGAAAATTGATAAAGTTAATAGTTATATAAATGATTCAAAATCATTCTTATTTTCATTAAAATCAAAAGGAAGAATTGAAGAAATGATGAAATATGATATTAAAAATCCCCACAAAATTCATTTTGGTTATTTAATAAATACGATTTTTATTTGTTTTCATTTGGATGGAGTGGTGATATTCATGTTTTAAAAGAAAATAATAAAACATATTCATATTGTTATCAAGATTCATTTTCATATAAAGGAATATCAAATGCACTTTGTGGAAAACTATATCCAAATCTTTTCACACCAAAACGATTCATAGTAATTGAAATGAAATGAATCAATCTTGATTTATTGAAAATGAACTAAAAAAGAATAAAAACAAATCAATGAAGAATATAAACATTTCATTCATCTGCCAATGAATCAAATGGTAAATTAAAAATGGAGATAATTCAATGTTGATTTATTTTATTTCATTTAATGAAATTTTCACACCCAATGAGAGTGTTTTTAATAAATAAGAAAATCAATAAGAATGAAATAGAAATAAAATGAATAAATAAATAATTTATTTGTATTATTTCATTGAATTAATTCATTATGAATCAAATGAATAAAATAATAGATATAAGAAGAATGAGGATCAAATAAATGATAAAATACATCAACATATTTATTTTATTATTTTATCATCAATTATTCTTCATGATTTTATTTCTAAGACATTTTTCCAATGAAGGGAAATACAACAAATTTTAATGACATGGTTATTGAGCAATCATAATGTGTATTGTAAAGAAAATCAAACAAAACATAGAAATCTAAAGTTGTACAATAAAAAAATTAAATGTCAATAACAATAACAATAAACGGCAAAGAAACAATAATATTAGTGAATGAAATACAAAAGAAAAAGGATTAGAAGACGAAAGACACAAAGAAAAACAAATAAAAAACAAGATAAAGACGGGTACGAAAAAATCAAAGAAATAATGCATCTAAATAATTTACAAAAAAGAAAAAAGATGCAAAATAATTTGCATCCATAGAATATTCCATTTATTATATTTTGCTCCTAAAAATAAATAAAAAATAAAAAGTATGATAAATACAGAATATATAAATATTTATGTTTATATTTTATATTCATTTCTATTTTGTATGAAATATTAATGAAATAGATGATTTGATGAATCATATTTAATTATTTTTATTATTTTTATTCTTTTATTTATATGTTATTTATCTATCGTATTTTTATATATTTATTTCTCTGTTTATATTATTTATATCATTGTGTTATTCTTATTATCTATATATTATTATATTATTATATTCTTCTTATTTTATTATTTTTTATGTTTATATTATTTAGATTTTCTTATTGTTATTCTTTTCTATTTAAATGTATTTGTTTATTTGTTTATTCATCTTATTCATCTTTTATATTCTTATCATTTATATCTACTTTCATTTTATATTTATTCTCTTTTGATTTATATTAATATTAATTTTATCTTTTATACTTTGATTTATTTATTATATCATTGATTATCATTTCTCCTTTTATTTATCATTTATTCTTATTATTCTTTTGTTTTATATTCTATATCATATATTCATATCATTTTCATTTATATTTTATCACTTATTATATGTTATAATAACATAACACATATGATTGAATATATAATAAACATCATGATGAAATTATACATATAAATAATAAACATAAAAAAGAGTAAAATATTTTCAACAATAAAACAATACCAATTATTTTACATCATTAAATTAGACACTGTTATTGAATATTTCTAATTTTTACAATAAAAGTACACTTTTTATTTCTTCTTTTATTATCTATTCTATTTTATTACTCTTTATCTTCTTTCTTTTTATATTCTCTCCTTTCTACTTTTATTCTTTCTTCATCTTCTTCTACTTCTTACTTTCTTTTTATTCTTTTATATCTTTCTCTTCTTTTTTCTATTATTTGCTTTTTTTTCGTTGCCTGTCGTTTCCATCAGGCATATTCTTTAAATTTATTGTTTCATTGTTAAGTCGTATTGTTCATTCAATATTGTCATTCTTCCATTTTGTATAATTATTCAAATATTTTTTATTTATATTAAAAATTTGTTTGTAGTGCTTGATATTTGATATTTCCCTCACTTTATAAATGCAATAAAATATACAAAACTCAAAAATCTTAACATTTATTTCTATTCATATAAATCTAATAATAGAATATCTAATAATAATTTTTTGTTTTAAAAAAAAATTAGAAAATTGTTATAAGAAGATTAACAAGATTAGTGCAAGAAAATATTTAAAAAAGAGGAATAGATAAAATCTTATTAGTATAAATGGGGTTTTCACCACAAAAATCAACGTTAGAATCTTATTTTCAAATTAGACGAGATTGTAATTCGGATAAAGATATTTCCTATATTCCATTAGCAGAAAGACAACGCCCTAAAAGATTAGAAGACATCATAGGACAAGAGAGTGCAATTGGTATTGGAACACCATTTAACTCAATGATTTTAAATGACAGCCTTCAGTCAACTATTTTATTTGGACCACCAGGAAGTGGTAAAACAACAATTGCAAGAATTATTAAAAATACATCAAAGTCATTCTTTGTTCAAATATCATCAGTAACAACTTCAAAAGAAGAATTAAAAAATGTTATTGAACAAGCAAAAGAACGAAAAAAAAGAGAGAAAAAAGATACTATTTTATTTGTAGATGAAATTCATACATTAAATAAACTACAACAAGACATTTTTCTTCCAGCAATAGAAAATGGATCAATCATACTTGTTGGGGCAACAACAGAAAATCCATCATTTCAATTAAATAATGCATTAATGAGTCGTTGTAATTTAGTAATTCTTAAGAGACTTGAAAATGAAAGTATTAATAAAATAATAAAAAAAGCAATTAAAGAAGAATATCAAAATAATAAATTTGTCATTGATGAATCAGGTATTAATATAATTTCAAAATATGCTGATGGAGATGCAAGAAATGGTTTAAATTGTTTAGAATTTATTTTTAATTATTTTAATAATTTAAGTGAAGAAGAATTAAACGAAATAATAAAAAGTAATGAAAGTGATAATACTACAATAGTAATAGATGAAAATGATTGTATTGTACCAAAAGAAAGAGAATTAGAAAATATTGAATTTTCATATCAACCAATAGAAGAACCAAAAGAAATTCATATAACACTTACTTCTGAAATTATTTCAAAATTCCTTCAGAAACAAAACTTTCAATATGACAAAAGTGGTGAAGATCATTATAATACTATTAGTGCATTCCATAAAAGTATGAGAGGTGGTGATGAAAATGCTGCAATATATTGGTTAGGAAGAATGATATTTAGTGGAGAAAATCCAAAATATATTGCAAGAAGAATGATTCGATTTGCCACAGAAGATATTGGACTAGCAGATACCAACGCAATGGTTGTAGCAATGAATACATTTCAATCTGTAGAAATATTAGGATATCCTGAGTGTAAAACTGTTCTTGCAGAATGTTGTTTATATTTGACTCGAGCAAAAAAATCAACAGCAGTGTATAAAGCTACATTAACACTTAAAAAAATGGTTAAAGAACAACCTAATTATGTTGTTCCTATTAGAGTAAATATAATTTCTGAACACCCAACTGAAACAAAACAAAACCAGTCATTTCTTCCTGATAAATTAGCTTTTAACAAAGTAATTGAATATGATAGATTTACTAAACCAATAAACAAAGATACAATTCAACCATCAACACCTAAATTATTTCAATAAATGTAATAATTCTATTAAATTTAATAAAAATTAACTAATTTATGTATTTCTAAAAAAAAAAAAAGAAAAAAACTTAAAAAACTTAAAATTCATTTTAATAATGACAAGAGATCCTATTAATAATGGTGCTGTTTATGAAAAATATAAATTCACACAAACACTTAATGAAGTAACTGTTACTGTTACATACCCATCACCAATTAAAGGAAAAGACGTTAATTGTAAAATTACTAATGATGAATTATTCCTTCAAATAAAAGGAGAAACATTTATTAATGGAAAATTAAGTAAATTAGTTAAAAAAAATGATTGTTGTTGGACTATAGAAGATAAAACTACTGTAGTGATTGACTTAGCTAAACAAAAAACAATGGATTGGTGGAGTTGTGTTATTATTGGAGATGAAGAAATTGATACTAAAAAAATAAAAGCAGAAACAGTAGGAGATGTTAATGAATTAGATGGTGACACTAAAGAATTAGTACAAAAAATGATGTTTGATCAACACCAAAAAGAATTAGGTCTTCCAACCTCAGATGAAATTGATAAAATGAAGGCATTTGAAAAATTTAAAACACAACATCCCGAGATGGATTTTAGTAATGCAAAGATGATGAATTGAGAACTTTTTGAAACTGATTAAAAGATTGTGTTTTTTTGTTTAACTCTTCATCTTTCTTTTTTTCCTTTTTATTTAATTTTTTTTGTCTAAAATTAACAATATAACTATTTTAAACTATATCAAAATTATATTAAAACTATAAATAAAAAATAAAAAAAATTAAAATAAGATAATAAAAAACCTAAAAAAAAAAGAAAAGAAACAAAAAAATCAAAAAAAGTTTTTCATGGGAGCAAAACACTCTAAAATTGTTGCTATTCCAATCAACTTCTCTGCCACTCCTTCGGCTGCTGAACAAGAGCCTTTCCAAACTATTAATGAAGTCGCTAGCCATATTAATGAAATGCTACAAAAGATGACAAATTATAAAGCAAAAGAAACTGAAATTAGAGCAGCAATTGCAACTCCATCACCAGAGACAGAAGAAGCTGCATGGAAAGCAATTATACCTCAAGTCCAAACGATTAATTCATTTTTTGAATATAGTAGAAGTATGAAAACAGAAGTAGTTAAATCTCTAAGACTAATCTGTAAATTAAATGGAAATGATAGTGTTACTCAATATCAAGCTGTTACTGTCAAATTAATGGAATTAATAGATTTTGCTGTTCAATTTGATAATAAGAAATTAGCTAATCCTGGTCTTCAAAATGATTTTAGTTATTACAGAAGGTCAGTTGGTAAAATGAAACAAAAACATCGTGAAGATGTTGTTTTAAGAGATGAAGTAACAAATCAAATTTCTATGTTCTTTGCTTTTGCTGCACCAATGATTCTTTGCTTATGTGAAGCATTAAATGAAGATATTAAAAATGGGTTAAGTTTAGATAATTTAGGAGATTGGCTTCGAACTGTTGCTTATTCTTGTTGTGTAGAAGCACAAAAACATGGATCAAATGGTATTCAGTTATTACGAATTATGACTGGATGTATCTTATTGTATGATACAGTTGTTCCAACTGGTGCTTTTAGTACAAAAGGAAAATTCAATGTTTGTTTTTTATTATATATAATAGTTTATTAATGATAACACTTATATTAAAATGTAGGTACTTGAATGTGTTAGAACATTACAAACTTACCAAGAAGAAGAAGTTGCTTTATTGGCTAATTCTCTTAAGTATTCAACTAAACATTTTAATGACGAAGATACTCCAAAAAACATTAAAGTCCTCTTATTGTGATTTGTAAAAGTTGTTTGGTGGTGAAAAACGGTTTTATTTTTTTAAAAAATAAAAAAGAAAAAATAAAAAAAGATTTGTTTCAAAATTTTTAATGATTTTAAATAAAAATTACCAAATTGAATTAGAAATTAAAGATTGAACTAGATTTCATGATAAATTGTTAAATAGATAAACTAAGAATATCATATGGATCTATCTAAAGGAGCATCAAATGATGCTCGTAAACAAAGAGAAGTACGAGATAAAAAAGCTGAATGTAATAGTCAATTATTAGTATTAGCAGCTGCATGTGGAGCTCAAATACGATTAAGAAAAACAAAAAAATCAAGTTATGCAAAAAAAGTATATATTTCAGATGATGTGTATTTTAATAAACGATATGACCAAAATAAAATTTTAGAAATTGCTGTAATATTTGAATGTGTTGTTAGAAAAATGTGGAGTGATGCAAGAAAAAATTCAAATAGTGAAATTATTATTGAAAAAAAGCAGTTTGATACAATAAAAAATGAAAAAGAAATTAAAGACTTAATAAACGGTAAATTAGATATTTTAACAAATGATGAAAAATTAGTTGGATGTAATAATTTATGGAATGATAAACCAAGTATTAATAGTGTTGATACTCCTTTTTCTTTTAAAACAAATGAATTCTTAAGAAAAAGAAAAAACAGAAATAGAGAATCTGCTTTTAATTCATTTCTTTCATGGATTCTTATTGAAAAAGGAATTAAATTAATATGTCGTATTTCTTCACAAAAAGTAACTTCAAAAACTATGAATTTTTATTTATGGAAGTCTTATAAACTACCAAATGGAAATAATATTAGTGAGTCTTATCTTACATCAATTACTGACAAATGTCGTAGACTTCTTAACTCTTCTTTTAAAAATACTAATTGTTATATTCTTTCTCAAGAAACTCTTAATGATGCACAATTAACTCCTGATGAAATTAAACTTATTGGATATACTTATGTAAAAGTTGATTCTTCAGTTTTTGATAGTTCTATAACTGACAAATCTGATGAAATTACAATTGATCAAATCCATTTTGACAATGGAATGCTTCATTCTTTAGGCTTCTAATTATTTTGTTTTATTATTTGTTTGTGGAATTTATTTAATTCTTATTTAAAACTGATTCAATTGAATTATTCTTCATCTTCTTCAACTTCTTCGTATTCATATTCATCATCATCACCTTCTTCCTCATCACCGTTTTCTTCTTCATTTTGAGCATTTTTCAGTGCGGTTAAGAACCCTTGAGATAGTTCAATGAACCTACTATAGTCTTCAGAATTAGAACAATCTTCTTTCCATTTCCAAATAGCATCTTCACTAACAACTTCATTTTCATGAAGAGCATGAAGAATATAAATAAAAGTTGGTTCAAAGTATTTAAAGTCATCACAAAATTCACATAAATAAAATAAAATTTCAACTTGTTCGTCACAGTTTGTTGTAAATTTTTCAAGAATTTCCCAAGAAGTGTCTAATGATTTTAATTGTTCTAAAGTTGTTTTTGTTCCATTTGGATCTCCAATAAGTAAAAATGCTTCAATAATAGCAGAAACTGTTTCACTCATTGAATAATTAAAAGTAGCTTTTAAAGAAGTAATTTGAGTTAATAGCATATGTTTTTCATGATTAACAAAATAAGCTTCAATAAACCTTTTAACAGTACTTCTAAATACACTAAATGGTTGTTGTTTATCTTCATCTATACTATTTTGTTCTTCATCATCACTATCATTATCAATTAAATTAATACGAGCACTGCCACTTCTTAATAAACTAGAAGCATTATGTTTTTGTACACGAGAAGTAAATAATTGGTCATTAGGTTTAGTAGATTTTTCAATACCATCTTTACCAAAAATAGTATTTTCACATAAATATTTTTGAGAAACAATTGCATCATCTTCAATAATACAATTATTTCCAATAACTGATGAAATAATTTGTACATTTTTTCCTATTGTTGTTCCATTAAATATTTGAGAATCTTCAATACTACTACCTTCTCCAACAATACAATCAGAACAAATTACTGAATTGTTTAATGTTGTATTTATTCCAATTGTAGTTCTTTCACATAATAATACATTTTTGGATTTTTGTAATATTTTTAATGGAACTTTAGATGATGCATGACTTACAACATTATGACCATACATATTATAATCATATCCAAAAACATTAAGATCAGTTGTATATGGATATCCATGTCTTTGTAACATTTCTGTTGATACTTTTCTAAATGTAGCAATATCTCTAATACGAACAGAATATTCATTATCTTTAGCAATATAACAATGTAATTTAAAATTTGTAATATCATTCTCTAATATTCTTGGATAAAACATTTCAGGGAATTCATTCATATCACAATTATCTGCATCACTAAATAATGATAATCCTTGTCTTGTAAAAATAAATACACCTGTTTCCATAAAATCTCCATGAACTTCAATTTTTGGTGTTTCTTTATTTAATGATAAACGAAGATAATATGGTCTATTTGTTTTTTCTATTTTTCTATCATCTACTTTAAGTATTCTATTTGTTAATCCATCTATTATAACTATTGTTTTATCATCATCTGACCTTGATTCATTAACAATATGATTCTTTCTATATACTACTGTTACTACATGTCCATCTCTACAATTTTGTCTATGAAATTGTAAAATTGGATCAAGTTGTAATGTAGTAATAACATCTCCTTTAATAACAATAAGTTCATCTGATTCTAATTGAGAATTTTCTGATATTTGTCTTATAATTTCCCCAGAACTTTTAGTTTCATCACACACAATAAATTGAACTACTTTTGATTTATATCTGTTTTGAATAATTGTACTAATCTTAATCTTATTCTCTAAATTACATGCAATAAATATTTGTTCAACATTTTGTGTTAATAAATGGTCAATGATATATAAAATTAATGGAGTGTTTAATATCATTAATAATGACGCATTACACTCCATATCAGTTATTTCATTCTCTACTAAAATTACTGCTTGTCTTTTAGTTGGAACTTCTAAAGTCATTTTGGTTTTTTAAAGTCTCAAAAAAAAACTTTTCTTCTTTTTATTTTTTTTTAGGGTTTTTTCTTATTTTTTATAACCCTATTTTTGAGGTTTTTAACTAATTATAACAAAAATTTGTTTTACTTAAAAATTGTTTTTTTATTTTTATTTTTTATTTTTTTGAGGTAACAAAAATTAAAAAAAAAAATTAGATTGAATTAAAAGATTTTTTCTTTTCATTTTATTCTTTTCAAATGAACATATTTAATTTTTCATGGGGAGTTTCATATGAAAATGAGTTTAAAGAATACCTTGACCAAAGTATTGTTGCAAGAGATTGGATGGACATTTATTCTCCTTTAAATTCATTACTTAGAATTATAAATGAAAAAAAAGAAATTATAGAAATTCCACATCAAAGTTTATTTTTTGAAGCACTTCTTAAAGCTGCTGACCAAAATATGCCACAAGCAGTACATGGAGTTGTATTAGATATTATTATTTCATATTTTAAAAGATATTCACAAAACCAAATGAAAGAATATATTCAACTTTTTCTTCCAATTATTCTTCTTATGGGTAAAACAGCTTTACCCCAAATACGAGGAAGGTGTATTGAAATAATAGACAAATTTCTATTAAACAATAATGATTTTACATTGTCTTTATTAGAACCATTAGTTTCATGTTTTGCATCAAGTTTACTCCAACCAGTGAATGGGTTACAAGAAAAAGCATTAATTTTATTTCAAAAATTATATGACCAATACAATTTGGAATTTGAACAAGAAATGTGGTTACATCTCTGTATTACACCACATACAAGAGAAGGACTTTTAAAGTTTATAAATTTAAAGAAGTATCAAATTAATTTTAATAATATTAAGGAACAAACACTATGTGATGGGTTATGTGAAATGTTATTAAATCAAAATACATTAGTTATTAAACAAACACTTGATTTAATGAATGAACAATTAAAATTAAATAAAGTTAATATAAGTAGTGATTGTAAAAGAAAATTAATTCAAGTAGTTATTAAATTAGTAACATTTAATGATAGTGGAATAACACAAAGACTAACTCAATATCTTATTGGAGAAAATGATTCACAATATTTTGAATTACATGTTAAAGATATATTCATTAAATCAATTTATGAAATTTTACAACGAGACTTTACTGACACAGGGTCATCATCAGAATGTACTAAAATGTTTTCTGCTATTATTAAAAATAAACTATTATCAAATGTTATTGGAAATACTCTCACATTACCTTTAATGAATTTGTTTATTAAAATTAATTTAAATAAACAAAATGTTGAACAAAGTAATATACTAATTGAAATGTTAAAAAATGCTCAAATAGATGAACTTATAAAACATTTAAATTCAATGGAATTTAATGAAAAAATAGTGTTTGTAATGTATTATATTCCATCTGAAGAACAAAAAAGTCAGTATATTACTATAGCATTATCATTATTTAAAACTTTAATTAATGATTATTTTCAAAAACAACTAAATGCTACTGACATTAGTGTATTAGAATCAGCATTAATAATAATTAAAAAAACTGTTTCATCACTTCATGATAATTTAAATATAGAACTACCAATTCTAGATTCATTAGAACCATTTAAAAAACAATTAACATTAATACAAACAATATTTGGAGAACGTGAAGTAAAAGCATTGAATAATTTATTAAGTGTTATTCTTACTTTTGCTACAATTACAACAAATGAAGAATTTCATTATCAATTAAATCAAATACTTCTTAATAGTATTTTATCTTCTTCAAATATTGCTCCTGCATTAGTTTGTTGTAGACTTTTCTTTAGATTAACAAAACAATCCAAAATTTATTTATCATCTTCTCAAGAAGTTGTATCATTTTTATGGAAAAATGTTTCTAGTGCAGAACAGTTTTTACCAATAATTGTTTCACTTTTAGCATCAAATGCTGAAGCATTACCATTTAGTGCTCTTCAAGACGTAATAGATTATGAACGTTTATTAATTTGTATGCACATGAATAAATTTTATCAAAAAATTATAAATACAAACCAAATGAAATGTATTATTTATTCATTATTAAAATCAGATGAACGTTATTTTAAAGTTGCACGTGATTGGTTTTTATTTTTAATGTCACATGATGCAACACTTTTTATTTCTATTGTAATGGGAGTATTAAATGGTAAAGATGAAATGATTATAGAAAATGTTGATGCTGTTGGTTCTAATGAAGAACCATCTTCTACTATCCAAAACAAAGAAGAAACAAAACTAATCACTAAAAACTCAACAACTCAAATTAAAAGAGAATTAAGATTCTTAACATATTTTACACAAATTATTAATGCTGATATTCCAGGTTGTTTTGACCTTTTATTAACAACAGAAATTAATGATGAAATGAAATCTTTATTAGTCATTTATCCATTTCCAAGAACACTTATTAATACACCAATACATATAATATTAATGATAATAGAAAGAATATGTGTAGTTAGAGAAAGTGTTAAAGCTGCAGATTTATTAATTATTCTCTTTACTAGATATGAACATTCTGAAATACTTCATTCATTTTCTCAACATATTTTAACTGCTATTAGTGTTCCAATAAAATCTCATTCACTACAACCAATTTTTCATTCAAAATTATTAATTTTAACAAGAACTTTAGTTCGTTCTACACCAGCATTAATTCAAACTTCATTGGATACAATGGATGCAATTCCGTTAGATGTTTTAATTGATCCAGAAATATTTACTGATTTTTCTCTTAATTCTCCAAAAGAAAATTTACCAATCTTAGCAACCAAAACATTACCAGAAATATTTTTAAAAGTACCATCTATGATGAAATCAAATTCTGATGCATTTTATAGTGATGTTATTAGATTAATTGGAATAATTACTCAATTAGTACATCGTATCTTTAGAGAGTATCCAGTTAATAAAGAGTCATCAAATAATATTACTTTTTTAGCTCCAATGTTTAATATTCAAAAAAAAGAAGATAACCAACATTTCTTCAAACCCCTTCTTTTTGGATTATTTTCAATGGTGAGTGAATTATATCAACAATTACCTCGTATTCAAATTAAAGAAGTTCATGATATAATAGAAGATGACTTAGCATTTTTAATGGAAGAAGTATTTTTTGTATTTCCAGACTCTCTTTTAGAACACACAGCAACAACTCAAGAACATAGAAAAATGTTTTCAAGTCTCTTTCTTAAATTTACTTCTAATCCTATCAATTTATATATTTCAACTTTATGTTCTTTATTTAAATTAGGAAGAATACCTGCAGACTCTTTATTTGATTCTATTTCTCAAATACTTCCAATGGCAAATGGTGAAGAATTAAAAGAATTAGTTCCAGAACTTTTTAAATTCTTTTCTTTGTCAATAACTACTATTCAAAATCATTCAATAACTTCATTTTTAAGGGCTTTACGTTCATTAGTATCATGTTCTGAAATAAACAATCTTCCACCTCAAATTGTTGTAGCATCTCCTCAAATATTCCAATTATTTTATTTAGCAGTTCAAAAATTTACACTTCCAGATGACCTTAATTCATTTACATCAGATTTACTTCCATTAGCTATTTCATTAAAACCATCTGAAGCAAATCCATTACAAATATTTTCTGCAAATGTATCTTCATCTCTTTCATTACTTATTCCTCAATTAGAAACAATTCTTGAACAGAAAAATATTTCAATGGTTGAAGATGTGCTTCTTTCTTTACAACGTTCTGGTTTATTAACTGGAAAATGGAAAAATTTAGTAATAAGTACATTTAATGATAAAAACTTTTTTGTTTCTAATCCAAGTCGATTATCAAAATGGTTACCAATTATTTCTCTTGTTTATTCTCAACATCTTGACCAAGTATGGCAAAGTGCTAAAGGAAGTGGTAATGGAATAAAAGAAAGAGTAGATTGTATAGAAGCATATGAATTAAAAAAAGCTGCATTTGTAGTATTATGTGGTGATTGTTATACATTTGATAAAATAGCAAATGAATTACTAAAAAGAATTTTGAAAATTGTAGCATTATATCCTAAGTCTAATCAAGTACTTATAAACTCTTTCTTATTCTTAAGAGTTATTTATTGTAAGTGTTCATTTGTTATGACTCGACTACTATTAGGTCCAATTTTAGTTGAAGCCATTAGAATCATTAAAAATTATAAAGAATTTGAACCTAATGTCCTTTTAGAAATTCTTAAATTTATTGATATAGTAAATATTAATCCTTTAATTGATTTCGAACCTTTTAGATGGCTATTTACATTACCATTGTCTGGCGTTACAACAACACTTTCCCCTTTCTTCAACATAATTATTCCACTTCATCCTGAAAATTCAATTCAAACAGAACTAACTAGTATAACTCCAATAATTACATTAAGAAAAATATTATCACAAGAAGATGAAGTAGAATTACGAAGAGTTTTATCAAAATATAATGTTCTTTTACTTGATATGAAAAGAAGAAATTTACAATGGAAACCAGAAATTATTAATGATTTCTTAATGAATGATTTCATAGAATAACTTTTCATTAATTTAATTCATTCTCATCTCTTTTTTTTTTTCTCTTCTTATTATTTTTTTACACACTACAAAATCTCTTTTGTTATGAGCCGTTCTCTTATACAACAAATAGAATTCTACTTCTCTGATATAAACCTTTCCACTGACCTTTACCTCCAATCAAAAATGAATGCTGATGGAATGGTTCCTTTATCAGTTATTGAAGGATTTAAAATGATTAAACAATTCCATAAAACAACACCAGAAATTTGTGAAGAATTAAAACAATCTAATACCCTTCGTCTTTCAGAAGATCACCAATTAATTGGAAGAAAAAATTTACAACCAATTGCTCAGTTAGAAAAAAGAGGATTAAAAATAAAATGGATTCCATGCTCATTGAATGAAGAAGAAATCAAAGAGTGTTTGTCAGAATTTGGGGAGGTTGACCAAATCAAAATCAAATATATTCCAACAACTTTAACATTCAAAGGAACTATAGAAGTTTTATTTAAAAATGAAGCTACAGTTAATAAATTAAAAGAGATGGAAAAGGTTATGATTAAAGAAAAAGAAGTAATTGTTACCAAATGGAAAACACATACTTTATGGATAAGACTATTTCGTGGTAAAGAAAAAATAACAACTGTAAAAGGTATTGAAGATGAAAAAGATGGAAGTTTTGTATTTGAAATACCAAAAGGAAAAATACAGAAAATTCAAAAACTAAAAGATTTATCAATACAATATATCTCTCCAGATGAATATCTTTCTGTTCTTCATCAACGAAAAAGAAATTTAGAAATTAAACTTCAATAACAAAATATTATTTTTTGTTTTTTTTTATTAATAAAAATAAAATTAATCAAAAGACATTAATATTTTCAAAAATTGTTTTTCAAAACTAAAAAACAAAATAAAACAAAAGGATAAATATATCAACTCCATTCATAGTAAAATTGCTTTATTCAGATATTATTATTTTATTTTCTTTAATTATAAAACACAAAATGAACCTCATTTAAAAAAAAAACTTTCTTTAATAATTGGAAATAAGGAATTACTTTTTTTAACAATTGAAAAAGTTATTTTAATCTTATTTTCAACTAAAAAAATTAATAAATAGGAATAATAACGGCAAATAACTGCTTCTACACTCATTATTTTTTTTTTATTGAGTCACAATAAAAAAAGGTAAGAAATATTGAATAGAATTTTTAGTTATAAGACATTAACTAAGTTTTCTTTTACTTTATGAAACAATAAAAAAATTGTTCTTTATGAGTTTCATAACAAAAGATTTCTTTTAAAACATATTTTTTACTCATATTAGATAAATGATTATCAATGAAATGTTTTTTTTTGAGGTTTTATATTATAATTGAATAATCAACTAATTCTTATTTAATATACTTCAATTCATATTTCCTGTTTTTATTTTTAAACAATTAAAAGAATTATCATCACCAACAATAACAGTTTAGTCTAATAAGAATTAATAAATGATTGACTCTATTAACAAAAGACTATTTTTTAAAAAAGTATCTTGTGATGATTCTTTTAATAACTTTGATGAAATAAAACTATATTTAATTCGTTAATCTATTTAATAAACAATTCAAAAAACAATAAATTAATAATCGTTATTAAATCATATCTTTTTTTATAATTTAAAAATTCATTAAAGTAGTATTTTTTTTTAAATAATTGGAAACGTTTTAAATTCAATTAAAGGTAAAATAAATTAAAACAATAACTCTGCTTCTGATAAGAACTGCCATAAAAAAATCCTTCAAATGAATTTTTTAAATAACCATTCAATTTTTTATTAAAAAAACAAAGTAATTTTAGTTTAACAAAAAAAATTGAATAACTGAAAACCACATTCTATTACCTTTTCAAGAACAAAAGAAATTATTTGATGCTGTCAACAAACTCTTTTAATTCATCAGCAGATTTTCCAATAACACACCCATCACTTATCCTAGCTTCAATAATAGGTATTAATAACTCTAATTGTTTTTTAATGAAAACATTTCTATTCATTGCTGCTGGTTCACAACAAGAACAAACAAAACATTTCCAACGAGCTTTATTAGAAATAAATTGTTGAGGTGTTCCTAATGTAAGACATAAACGTTTATAACATTCAACACAAAAAGTAAATGGACAAAATGAACAATTGTATGTTTCTTCTTTCTTATAAAAACCACAACATAATGCACATTTTACATCGTTTTGCATTGGATTAGTATAATTGTATAATGGGTTATATATATTTTCTCCAGTTCCTTTTTTTAATAATTCAAGACATTCATCATTTAAAACTATTTGATGTTGCAATAATGAAACTCTCCACAATTTAATAATTTCATCTAAATGATTTTGACAAACATAAACATGAAGTGGTTGTAATATAGGAATTTCATTTTCAACAATAGCATTACAATTATCAATACAACATTGGTGTTCTTCTTTATTAACTTCTTCTTCTTCATGAGCTTCTAAATTTATTTGAGGTTTTTCAGAGTTTTTTATGTCTTCACAAGAAGCACCAACAATATCTTCTTTTATTTTATTTTCATCATTAACAATAGAACCTTCAACTAATGTTTTATTTTCTTCTTTAGACTCTTGAGGATAAATCTTAGAAGCTTCAGTTTTTTGTTCTTCTCCTCCTTCTCTTCTAAGAGATGTTTCTTTACCATAATTATTATTTTTTTCTGTTTCCATAAAAGTTGATTGATTTGGTTCAGCTGGAACAGTAATGGACTTTTCATTTTTTATTTTTTCATTTTTTTCTTCTCCAGTTGTAGGATTATTGTCACCATCATCTCTTGTTTCAGTTGAAGTATCAGTATCACTATTATGTTGATTAGATTCAGTGATAGTATCTTCGTCTTCAGCTTGTTTCTTTTGTTGAGGTAGTTGTACATCCGTTGTTTGGACTTCTCTTTTAATAGGAGTTGCTAAAAATGGTTAATATGATTCTCTAAAAAAAGAACTTTCCTCATAGTTAAAAATACATCAATGAAGACACAATAAAAATCAGAAGAACAAATTTTCTGATGATAGCTTTTAACAAAAACAAACGTGTTATTATATCTGAATATTTAGTTGCATGGAAAGTACATAATTGGTGATGACAACAATCATTTTTTAAGTTTACTTGACTTAATTTCGATGGTGATACTTCTAATGGACATGCCATTTTGTCACAATGTTCAATGCAACATTCCATTTGTTTCAACATATTATCAAAATCATTTTTACAAATTTTCCATTCACGTGGAATTGTGTTAATGAGCTCTTTTTTAATTTTTACTGTCCCTTGAATTTTAGATAAAGGAAATTCACCTTGGTTTTTGCATCCAGCAATGCAGCAACCTTTAAACATATTTTGAATTTAAAATTTTAAGATGATTATTTTTATGGAAAAAGATTCTGAAAAAATGAAAAGAGAAAAAAGGGAAAAAAGTGAAAAGAAAATAAAAATACGAAAAAAGAGAAGGGTAAAGTGAAATCTCTAAAAGATCTTCAAAAGAAAAAGAAAAAAAAAGAGAAAAATGGTTGAAAAGGAGAGCATTGTAGAGAAAATCGTGATTGTAGAAAAAGAAATATTAGAAAATTATTGTGCTATTGATCAATTGGATAAAAGAATAACGAATTATATTCGAGAAAGAATGAATGCGATTAATTCAGATGAAGATGATATAATACTTAAAAAAGCACAAACAAAACTTATCAAAAGTTATCGTGCTTTAAAATATGAACAAGATCATAACCCAAAACTACAACAACAACTAAAAGAAGTACATACTCAAACTCAAGAAATTGAACAAAAAGCAAAAATTATTAATGCAAAAGATGAAGATTATCATAAACATACATACAAACTTGCTAAAGTTGATTCAAAAATTTGTAGGTTACAAGATACTTTCATTTCTTTGTATACAAAAAAACTTAATTTACAAGGAAAAATTAATACATTGTTAGAACAAGAAAATTCATTAAATGAAGAAATTAACAAACTAAAAGAAGATAGTAAAACAATACAACAAACTATGGAACATAAAGAGACAGAATTAGATGATAAAAATAATGTAATTAATCAATTAAAAAATCAAGAAGAAGAAATTAGAGGAGATATTAGACAACTTCAGAGAGAAATTGATGAATTTCAAGAAGAACAAAAACAAATTCAAAAAGAATTTAATGAAGAACTTAACCAAATACGTACAACATTAGAAAATGAAAGAAAAAATAATAATAAGTTAATTGAACAACTTCAAACAGAAAAAGCCTCAGTAGAAGAAGAAACTACTATTATGCAACAAGAATTTCAAAAAAATGAAAAAGTTATAGAAGAAAAGACAATGTTTATTGAGCAAATGAAAAAGAAAATTGATGAATTAAAGAAAGAAGATAAACAAATAACAAAAGAAGTTGAAAAAGCAGAAAAAGATGTAAAAGTTGCTTTAAACAAACGTAAAGCTATTAATGATAGATTTAATGAACAAAATCATGACATTGAAATGAGAAGAAAAGAACTTGAATTTACAGGGATTAATAATGATAATCCTAATAAAGATTTAATTGGCTTTGATGACAACTTTCAACATCATATTCAAAAAACTCAAAAAGATGTTTTGTATGATAGACAAAAAACTGCTAATAAATTTGAAGTTTTACTTAATAGAGTTGAAGGAAAAAAAGTTACTGAAATAAATGAAGAAGAGGTTCAAAAAAGAGTTGAAGAAGAATTAAAACAAATTAATTCTGATAATAAAGTTTTAACTCCAATAATTTCTTCACCTAATGAATCAGAAGAAGAAGAGATGATTAATCCAAAAGTTCAAGCTCTTCAAGAAATTGAAGAAATTATAAAAACTAGTCCTATTCTTGAACGAGAACCTGAAGAGAAAATTAAAATGAAAGAACAAATTCAATTACTTCAACGAGAAAATGAATTAAAACAACATCAACTCCAAAAAGAAGAAGAATGTCTTATTAAAGAAGAAGAAAATAATCAAAAATTAAAAATGTCAGTTGAAGAAATTAATGAAAGAATATCTAAAATAGCTGACATTGTTGGTTTAAGTAGTACATCATCTTTTGATGTAGTAGTTGACAAAATAATGGAAATGAAAAAAGAATGTGATTGTTTAGAAAACAAAATCAAAGATTGAATAACATTTAATTGAATTTTTATTTGAGGAGATACATAATCATTTAAAAAGTTTTGATGTAACAGCATTTGATGATTTCTTTGGTTGATTGAAAGATGTTGTTGGAGATAATTGTAATCTTCTTTGTTGTGCTAAACGAATTTTTAATTCAGAAGAGTCACTGTTTTGAGATAAAGGAGAGGTTGATGTTACAAGACTTGGTGAAGAGTCAGATTGAGGTGATTTAGAAATTTCAACAGAATTTGGTTTTGATCTACATCCAATAACAAACGTAGGTTTTTGTTTCTTTTGAGATGAAGAAGTATATTGTTCATAGAATTGTTGTAAGAAAATAAGTTCTGGTTCTGGTAATGGAACTGGAACAGTTGAACCAGAAAATGTTAAATTAAGTTGAATAGTATTTGACACTTTTGATTTAAATGGATTTCTTATGTCAAGTGTTTTAGAATCAAAAGAAAGTGTATTACCATCAATAAAATATGTATGAAAAGATGCACGTGCAACAATGGTATGACCATAACTAGGATTAGAATTAATTAAACGAACTCGAATATTTATATCTCCTGCTAAAGGAATTGGTGGGTTAAATGATGCTTGAATATTATTTGTTAACTCTGAAAATATACAAGAATAACTAGGTGAAGAGGATATTAATGGTTGAATACAAATAAATGGTTTGTAATATTGATCAATACTAGAAATGTCTAATTCATATGATACATTATTTGTTCCTTGATCAGGTAATGGTCCAATAGAAAGTGTTTGTAGAAGATAAGTTGTTTGAACAAAATAAATTTGTTTTGATAACAATTCCCCAAAGTACTTAACATATCGAATTTGAGCTGGCATTGAAACTCCTTTATTTTTCATTGAACGAATAGAAGCAAAATGATCCAATGCATCTTGTGGAGTAGCACATAATTTTATGTACTGTAAAAATGAAGTAATAACAGTTCCTGTTCTTCCTCTTCCTGCAAGACAATGAACTACAACAACATTTGCAGGATCTTCAGTATAATATTTATACATATCATCAACAATATGACAAAGTACAATTAACGAGGGGTTATGATGATCAGGAAAAGGAAACCATTTTACATTATTGTGGAATGGTGTAGGGTCATATGGATTTTCTGTCAAATTATATACACGATAATGTCCTAAATGTTTTTGCTAAACGAATAAATATTTCTATTAAACGTAAGTCCATTTTATTAAAATGAAGTACAAACATTGAGTAACATAGCAACATCTACCATATTATTTCTATAATATGATTCAATGCCTTCAGCGGGATATCCCATGGCAATAATTCTAGGTTCAATGTATGTGAGATCTAAATCAAATCCATCTTCTTGGAATCTTCGTTTATCTTGAGACACTTGTCTTTTGACCAAGTTTAGCATTTGTTTTTTTTTAATTTGTTTTTATTTTTTTAATTTATTTTTATGATTGAATAATTCATTTTATCATTTTTTTTACTTTTGGTTAAATAACATAAAATAATGAATAGCACATTTTTTATATTACAAAAATGAAAAAAAGATTGAGGCATAACAATTATGAAATAAAACATCAGAAAACTAGATTTACCCTATCAATTATGCCAAGACAACGAAAAAGACCAAACCCAACACCTTCTCCTCAACAACAAAAAGAAGGAGAAACTTGGCTTCATAACTATATTAAAAATTCACCTTATTCCAGTACTTTAAGAGAACGATTAGGATTGTCAAATGAAGAATTAGAAATAAGTATTGAATCATTAGTTGAAATGAGTCCTGATGAAATGGCATTACAAATGTCATTATTTGAAGTGTATGGTGATGACTCTTTTGAATTTATATCTGGTATTATTCAGAACTTACCAGCCATTTTAAGTCATCAAATAATCAATCAACCAAAAGAAACAAAACGACAAAAGACACCCAAACCCACTGATCAAATTTCGTATACCCCACCAAAACAGATAAATAAACCTGTTATCCCCCAAAATGCTATTGAAAGAAATCTTCCTGATAGATATGAATTATATATTCCTGCTGTTCCTTCTGCTAGAAGTCTTAATACAGAACGACTAGAAGTTAAAAATATTTTAGATGATTTTACTAGACCTGCTATGTTACATTATACTCATTTAAATTATGTACAAAGTAAAGTATATGAAACTGCTTATAATAGTGGAGAAAATATGTTAGTTTGTGCACCAACTGGATGTGGTAAAACATTAACAGCATTATTATGTATGTTAAGAGAAGTTAAAGTGCACCAGCATGATATGGAACATTTAAAAATTGTTTATATTTCACCATTAAAAGCACTTGCTACAGAAATGACAACAACTTTTAAAAAACATTTAGGTTGTTTCAAAATGAGAGTTGAAGAAGTAACTGGTGATACTAACATTCCAAAAGCAGTTATTGCAAGTACACATGTTATTGTAGCTACACCAGAAAAATTTGATGTCTTGACACGAAAACAAGATGCAGAATTTGTAAATGATATTCAGTTACTTATTGTTGATGAAGTACATTTATTGGATGAAGATAGAGGAGCTGTTATTGAAACAATTGTTGCAAGAACATTAAGAATGGTTGAAAGTCAACAAAGACCAATTCGTGTTGTAGGACTATCAGCTACATTACCAAATTATCAAGATGTAGGAGAATTTATTAGAGCTAAACCAGAAAATATATTTCATTTTGATATGAGTTATAGAGCAGTTCCAATGTCTACTAAGTTTATTGTTTTACCTGAAGATGAAAAAGAAAATAAAGGTCACCAATTCACTCATCATGCTACTGACTTAGCTTATGATGAAGCAGAAATTGTAGTAAAAAGAGGAAAACAAGTTATTGTATTTGTTCACACAAGAAGAGAAACAGTATTAACTGCACAACGGTTTATAAAAAGAATGAAAGAAAAAGGAACAACAGAATATTTTACTGGAAATAAAGGTAGAGAATTTGCCACACGAATAAAAAAATTACAAGGGAAAGATATTAAAGAGTTATTAGAAATGGGAATTGGTGTACATAATGCTGGAATGTTTAGGTCAGATAGAACATTTATTGAAGATGCATTTAGAAATGGTTCTTTAAAAGTTCTTGTTTCAACTGCAACATTAGCATGGGGAGTTAATTTACCAGCCCATACTGTTATTATTAGAGGAACTGAAGTATTTAATAGTGATAAAGGATGTTCTGATAAAATTTCAATCTTAGATGTTCTTCAAATGTTTGGAAGAGCAGGAAGACCACAATATGATAATGAAGGTGCAGGTATTATTATTACTGATAAAGAAGGATTAAAAAAATATATGGCTATTCTCGGTAATATGGGTAAAATTAAATCAACGTTAATGAATGGATTATCTGACCATTTAAATGCAGAAATAGTCTCTGGGACTGTTACTAATTTAGAGGAAGCATTACAATGGTTCCAATATACTTATTTATACGTTTGTTTAAAACGTAGCCCTGGAGGTATAACATCTGATGATCTTAATTCATTAATTGGAGGTGCTGCCAAATCATTAGAAAAACTTCAAATGATAACTATTAATGATGAAACTATAACATTTTCACCAACATTACTTGGAAGAATTGCATCTCATTATTATGTTACAGTTGAATCAATGTATACTTTTTCAGAGAAATTACATGAAGGAATGCAAATGCCACAATTACTTGATCTTATTTGTTCATCAAATGAGTTAAAGCAATTACAAAAAATGAGAGAAGAAGAAAAACAAGAAATGGAAACACTTGGTAATTCTGTTAGATGGCAATTATCATCGACAAATGACTTGGCTTGTAATAAAGCAAATATTCTTATTCAAGCAAGTTTATCTCATATCACACTAACTAATTATACCTTAATGTCTGAAACTTTATATGCAAATCAAAATGCTTCAAGAGTTACTCGTGCTTTATTTGAATTAGCATGTATTAGAGGATTGGCACGTGAAGCAATGAATTTATTAGAAATGGCAAAGATGATAGATCAACAAAATTGGGATACGGTTCATCCATTGTTTCAATTTAAAACTCTTCCTGTTCAAGTCTTACTTAAACTACAACAACGAAAACTTGACATTGATACTATTTGTGAAATGGACAAAACTGAATTTATTGATTATCCACAATATGCAACTGATATTATAAGACAAGCTCATGAATATCCATATCTTGTATTAGAAACTACATGTGTTCCATTAACATCAACAGTATTACAAATGAAAGTTCATATTCATCCAGCATTTAGATGGGGAAATGATTTAGGAACAGTGGAAAATTTCTGGTTATTTATTAGTGACAATAGTTATAACCAATTGTTTTATTTTGAAAGTTTTAATCTTTCAGAGAAAAAACTTGATGACTATAATGGTACTGGTATTCCTATTGAAATTATTGCTACTGTTCCAGTTGTTTCTGGTATTCAATATATGGTTGATGTAGTTTCAGATAAATATTTTGCTTGTACTTCTAACTTCCCTGTTCAATTTGACGAAAGTACTTTACCGACAGATGAGTCTTATATGACAAAACTCTTACGATTACATCCTTTACCAACAACAGCATTAAAACAATATCAAACATTCTTTAATTTCCATTATTTTAATCCACCCCAAACACAGTTCTTCTTTATTTGTTTTAATACAAATAATAATGTTATTGTTGGAGCACCAACTGGTTCAGGAAAAACTGTTGCAGCTGAACTTTGTATGTTAAAAATTTTTAGAGATACTCCAGATAAAAAAGTAGTATATATTGCACCAATGAAAGCATTAGTAAAAGAAAAATTAAGTGATTGGAAAGATAAATTGAAAACACTGGGAAAGAATATTGTAGAATTAACTGGTGACTTTACACCAGATAGTGCTGCAATTGCAAAGGCAGACATTATTTTAACAACACCAGAAAAGTGGGATGGTATTACTAGATTATGGACAAAGAAAAGTTATGTACAAAAAGTAGGTTTAATTATTTTGGATGAAGTTCATTTACTTGGAGAAGAAAGAGGACCAGTCATTGAGGCAATTGTTACTAGAACTAAACAAATAAATAAAAAATTGTGTATTCAAACTCGAATTTGTGCATTAACTACTGCTATTGCAAATGTTGATGATATGATGAATTGGATAGGAGTAGATAAAGATTCTGTGTTTAATTTCCATTCATCACTTCGTCCAGTTCCATTAATTGCACACATTGATGGATTCCCTACAAAAGCATATTGTCCAAGAATGGCAACAATGAATAAACCATGTTATCAAGCTATTCGATTACATTCACCAGATAAACCAGTAATGATATTTGTTTCTTCAAGAAGACAGACCCGACTTACTGCACAAGATTTAGTAAAGTTTTGTTTTAATGATGGAAATCCTCAAAAATTCCTTCATATGCCATTTGAAGAGATGAATGAAATTACTAAAAGTATTACTGATGGTATATTAAAAGAATGTTTGTTATATGGAATTGGTATGCACCATGCTGGTTTAAATGATCATGATAGAGAAATTACAGAAAAGTTGTTTAAGTCTAATAAAATTCAAATATTAATTACTACAGCTACATTAGCTTGGGGTGTTAATTTACCAGCACATCTTGTTATTATAAAAGGAACAGAATATTTTGATGGTAAAAAGCATCAATTTGTTGATATGCCATTAACAGATGTTCTTCAAATGATGGGAAGAGCAGGAAGACCACAATATGATAATGAAGGAGTAGCTGTTATCTTAACATATGAACCTAAAAAAGATTTTTTGAGAAAATTCTTATTTGAACCATTCCCATTAGAAAGTTATTTTGAAACAGTTATGGCTGATCAACTGAATGCAGAAATTGCTGTTGGTAATGTTACAAATGTAAAAGAAGCTGTAAAATTTTTAACATTTACATATTATTTTAGAAGACTATTAAAGAATCCTAATTATTATGGGTATGATGGAAAAGAACAAATTGGTAAATTCCTTGTTTCTAAAGTTAAAGATGCATTAAATGAGTTGGTTAGTGCTAAATGTATTGAAATGGATGAAAATGATGTTGAAACAACTACAAATGGAAAAATATCAACTATGTATTATATTAGTTATCGAACTATTAAAATGTTTGCTACTAGAATGAAGAAAGATTTAAATCATGCTCAAATATTACAAATTATATCAGATGCAGCAGAATATAATAATCATCCAGTACGACATGAAGATGATATTCATTGTAAAACTTTAGCAAAGAAAGTTAAATATGGTAATTTAAGACAATCATATGATGATCCACATACAAAAGTATTTTTATTACTTAGTGCTTATTTTGGAGAAAACACATTACCTATTGTTGATTTTGTATTAGATACAAAAAGTGTCTTAGACCAATGTATTCGTATTCTTCAAGCTTTT